ATATAGTAATGTATTCAAGGATAATTTCAGCAAAAGATATTCTAGAATATAGCTCAAAGACAGCAATCTGAAAAGTTTAGTCTGCCACTGAAAAACTGTGATTATAAGTGATCTACATAGGAAGTGCAAAAACAAAATGAGAGCTGAGTTCTTCTTGAAAACAGACATGAAAAGGCAACCATGTGATTTAGGAAAATAATTATGAATATGAAACCTCAAGAGTTTGAGATATATGATCTATTGGGAGATTTGTTATCAGTAGTCGGTATATCATTAATATCATTAAACACCTGGTAATTCATATTATAACATCTGACAATACTGAAAAGAATGTGTAACTAAAATTCTAAGACAGTTCTATGATAAATGCAAGCACAGAGCACAAAAGACATAAATACTGGAAAGTTGCATTTTGCAAAGACTAATTGTTCTTGTTGGATAAATCCTCTTACAGCTGGGTTCGTTGCTGTCACAGTAATGAAAAATATACTCACTCTACTGGTAAATTCAGACTGAAAAAAATGCCAAAAAGTATATTCTGAAAATCAGGAGAGCTGCCAACTTTTACACTTTTACATATGAGTGCATAGATGAGATAAACAAGAAAACAAAAAGAGCCTTACCAATAATAGTCTTTAAGAATTAAACATGTCTTGTTATTGGTAACCAACTAAACATTAACCTGGCAGAAAGTGATTTAAGAGAAAGTGATTTAAGAAAAAAGATAGAACAGACTAAAAACAAAGGGAAGATCCTAAAAGCTTTCAGAGGACGAAAATAGAGATAGGACCCAAGTGTCTAGGAATTCAAACAGGAGAGTTTGGTCAGGAGATTGTTTCTTTTCATTGTAAACACTGTACAGCCATTTGATTTTTTTCAAATGGCCACAGTAACTACAGAATATTTTTCTCAAGAAATTGGATTAATGTGCAAACGGAAATTCAAAGAGCAGGTGATAAGGACAGAGCATGTACCCCCTGCTCCTCTCGTTTCCAAGAAGGTAGGAGTCCCCACTCTGGTCCTGGAGGAGGAGAGACATTTCAGCTTTTTTCAGAACCATCATCCCCAATTTGCTGCCAAGAGTGTGGGGTGACTTATCTGATCGGTGAGTTTGAGAAAAGCAACAGAGCATGTCAGGCTCTGCCCCTTCCAGGCAACCTTTGGTTATCATTTTGGAGGTGCCCTGCCTGCCGGACAATTATTCTCTGCTCCTCCATGTAGTAAGGATGACAGGGGCAGAAGGAGAGTGGGGACATCTTATGGTTTATACAGGTGTGCTAATTGACTGTGTGACTAGGTAGGCAAGTTTGGCTAATTCAGGGGTGAAATATTAATAAGTAATCATTTGGACACAAATCTAAAGCCATGTTGGCTAATCTGCTTTGTCAGTAATGATGTTGACATTTTGATCTCTATATATTCATTTTCTGTGTCTCATTTCTCAATGGGTTTAGAATTCAAGAGGAGTAGAAGGGAAATGACCTCTCCTCTAAAACACAAACATTGGTAATAAAAACTATTAACTGCATGAACTGTGTAATCAGATTAATAGCATAATGTAAGGATAATTTTTTTTATTAGAAAAATATGTATGCATAGAAAAAGTCTGAAAGATATATGCTTAACTGTATTTACTAGTTTTCCTTCATGTATTACTTGCGTAATAAAAATGCTCAAATAATAAACTTTGAGTGAGAAATTAAAAGTAATGTTATAAAGTTATAGAACACTGTCTCTTAGGTGTCACAGTTATATCTGAATGATTTCTCTAGATTGGCTTTGCTTTCATTCACCATCAGATTCTTATGACTGATATGCTTAGAAGAGCTTTAAAGGAAACACTACTTATGTGTTCGAAAGTTGGGTCATATTGGCACTCTATATAGAGCGTATACAGGGCAGAAAACCCACAAAGTTCAAGTTTAGTTACATAATTCTGCTCTAATGAAGTAAAAAATAATTTAAATATTTATGTATAATGACATCCATCTTGCAAAGCAATGTAATTTCCCATTATTTAATAACTTACTTCCATTTCTTTATCAATTGATTTGTCTTCCATTTCTTGTATTTCAGGTACTTTTTCATCTGAAATAATTTCAGGAGTTGCTGGCAATGATATTTCAGCTATTTGTGCAAGATTGGATAGTTTCTCATGAATCGAAATAACTCTAAAAATAACAAACATATATGTATTTCATTTGAAAGGTTAAGAAAGACATTAATTTATTCTGAGAGTCAACAATATGTATAAAGAAAGTCCTTAGTTATTTAACACTTAGTTTTCGGGCATCCCTAAACATAACTTATTTAATTATTTCTTCATTGAAGGAATATGAGCAAAAGGACAGGACTCTAACCTACATAATGTTTGTGATCTAGTTATACATTCAAATAGATACATAATTACAAACTGGCACAGGCGCCATGAAAGAAATGTACACATCCAAAATATTGCTTATGATGAAAACCCCAAAAAATAAATACATGGGCAAAAAAACTCCAGCAATGACAAAAGATTTACCCTTATGTAAACCTTAATGTCATGCTCTGATTCCCTGGCTGACCAAGGGAAGAATTATGATGAGTTAACAATGGCTCTTAAAAAACCAACACTGAAGGATATGGTACAGGGAGTGGAGGGTAGGGAGAAAAATCAAAGTAGAAGGAAAAGCAAAAGCAGAGGAGGGCAGAGGACACAGTGGCAATTATGCTGCAGATGGGAAGCTTCTGCAGCCAGAGGCCCATGGATGCTCTGAAGGCAGAGGTGAGTGGAGTCAGAAGATGGAAAAGCTTTGAAACAGCTGAAGGAGGCAAACAGCCACCTGCATGGCCCTCAGTGACTCTACAATACAGGCACAGTGTGCACATGCATGCCTGTCTGTGTGTGTGCTACCAGTGTCCTCGTCTAAGGAAGAAGGAAAAGTTTTATGGAAAAGAACTAAATAATCCCAGAAATCAAATTGACATTAAGAAAAAATTCGGGAATTACAATTCTTCAATTTCCCACAGTGTCCCCTTAGTTTGCCTTCTGAAGGATGATCAACAAGAGCAACTCCCCAAGAACTGATCTTATCTTGACCCTTGTAAGAACACAGGAAATGCCACCTTGGTTGACAGAAGTAGCCCATTTTCATGGTGCCACCAATGGACGGATCAGACGAAAGGTTATCAGGCACCCTCCTCTGTGATAGCCTCAGTGACAGGGGCATGTCCCTGCTTTAGTAACCTTACCATTGGCCATGAACACACCAAAATCAACAACATTTTGGAATAATAATAATAAAAAAAAAAGAACCCTGTCAATTTGATTACCTTCTACTTTGCAGAAATTATAATCATTTTCATTATTGGGTTCTGGGAAAAAAAAAATCTCGCCATGTTTTCAGATGTACATAAGGCAGCGCACAGTTTCCCGATTTTGTTGCTTAGCTGTACTGGTATATGATCTGTGCCTTAATTTTCTGTCACTTCATAAACAATAAAATAAAATAAAACAAACAAACAAAACAAAACAAAACAAAACAAAACAAAAAACATGCCAGCTCTTGAGATATCTCTTTATTCTTGTTCATATTGAGGGCAAAGAGTCCTTCGGAATGAAAATCATGCAGCACGAACAAGGCTCTCCAGGGAAGGACACAGAAGTACAGAGTCTCTGTTCCCTAAGCATTTACTAGCTGGGCAAAGCTAGACACTAACAGACAGAGGATCTGGTAATGAGACCTGACGTTTGCCCTGTGCTGCAGCCTTTCAAAGAATGTGCATGCATTGTTTGGCTTGATCCTAATAATAACCCTGAAAGGTAGGCAGAATAGGTATTATTTCCATCTTACAAGTGAGGAAATGGAGGTTGAGGTCACAAGGGCAATGAAAAATGGAATCAAAATTAAATTAACTAAGCAATAAAAAGAATTTTTTAAAAACCCAAGGAATTTGTTAAAGAGAAATAGGAAAAGAGGGAAAGCAGGCATGAGCAAAAGTTAGAGATGTGCCCTTTTTGATGGAAAAGGAGAAAAGCAACCTAGCTGAAGCAGAGATCTTTGACTAGGGAACAATTTAAAATAAGGCTGGATAAAGAGGAAAGGATAAGACGAGATATGGTGGAGTCTGGGCTTCATTTTGCAACCTAATTCAGAGCCACATTAAATTACTTTTTAACCCCCCTGCCCCAATTTTAGGCAAAATATTGCACAGACAACATCCTGTACTCTCTACAAACTTCATACAGTATAAGAAACTGCTCCTCCAACAACCCTTGGTACTACTATCATTATTCACAGTTTAATGAAGAGTAGAATGAGGCACAGACAGGTAAAGTATCCTGCTCAAGACAGTAAGAGGAGCAACTGGTATCTGAACCAAAGCAGGACGGATTCAGAATTTGTGCTCTTCACCACTGCAATATCATATTCTTCTAGGTAAAATGAAGATTTTTTTTTCTAAACATCTAAAGGTTCTCCTGTGCTTTACCTTGTATGTTACTAAAAACAGCTTGTTCTTATGAAAATATCAACAGTCAGGGTTAGAGTTGTGGATAATCCATCTTCACTTGCCTGTTCAGTGGAACCCAAACAGAGCCAGCGTGTGCACTGTTGTAACCATCGTATTTCACATCTGCAATCTTCAGGGGCTTTGTGTTATACGCATACAACAATAAAACCTATAGGAAAATTAAAAGGCACATAAAATGTGACATCGAATTACACTTTGCCTTAAAAAAATGCAGCATCAGTTCTCAAAATAATATCATTAAACTTTAAAAAGTTTTTCGTTGGAAAAAAAACGAGGATTTTTTCAATTCACTTTAAGGAAAATGATATGAATAAGAGTTGTACAAAGGTTAAATGCTATTTGGTACCAATATTATATTATTTTTGAAGACTGATATTTCTTACTGCAGTTAAGTTTAAATTTCAGCCTTTGAAAGCCCTCTATGACAAGTTTTAAATATACACCCGGTGAGGATCTGTTTTTTGTTACTTCTCAGTTTGCGCTTTTCCCACAGTGGTCATAGCCTCTTTTCTGCATTCACTTATGCTGTTCCCTTCCTCTTCTCTCCATTTACTCGATCTACACACGATTTTCTAGTCCCCACCTCTATGACAAAAACTCTTCTAATGACTCAGGCTTAGTAGTTCCCCTGTTGTTTGAAATATGACAATGCTTAGAGTCAGTCCTACACAGCATAGCACCTGTTTACGGTCATGTAAAAATCCATCGAACTTGAGATTCATAGAATCTTAGTGATCATCTGCCCTACATCCCTCATTTTACATATAAGAAAGCTGAGGCCCAGAGCCACCAGTCAAAACTAGGTGCATGTGCTATCTCTGCTTCCTCAAAAATCAAACTAAAATAAGAGTAAAGGGATTTTTTTTTAAAGGCCTAAATCAACAAAGACAGAACAAGAGAGGAGATGACGCATCAAGAGATGTTAACAATACTTTGAAGGATGGAGCACTAGGAAGAGCATAGCTGACTCAGTGGAGCAGAAAGGCTGTGTCCGAACTGCCTTGAGAGGGGCTGCCAACTATATGCCTGGACTGTTGAAAAGACTTGGGGACTGGAGGCCTCAGGGACCTTAGCTCGCCTCCCTTCTCTGAGCTCATGCAACCAGGAGACTCCCCACTTCCCTTGTTTCCTCTCTGCTGGAGAACTTTCATTTTCCTCTTGGCTCAAGTTAACTTAGAAAAGACCTATGCTCAGGGATGAGGTGCTGAACTGGAAACAATAGAATTAAGTGAAGGTCTGTATTCTGCACAAGAGACATCCCCTTGCCCCGCTCCAACCCCTTCCCAGAATGCATCTGGCTCCTGCAGTTACCCTACAGTGAAGCCTATAAACCGATAAGCCTGACCCAATATGCTTCTTGGTGCCTCCAAACATGAATGGATAGCCAGCAGTCACTAGACATGAAATAAAAGGCAGTGACCAAAACCAATATAAGAAAGGAACCTGGAGAATCAGATAGAAGACAAAGAGCCTAAGAAAACTTCAATAGAATGTTAATTAATATCCTTGCAGAAAGAAGAAAGACAATATTACATCTGTGAAACAAGAACATAGTACTGTTAAAATAGAACAATGAAGGACAAGATAGAGCTCTTAAAAATTAAAAAGTATAATTGTAACAACTAAATAACCAATAAAACATCTAAAATATAAAGTTGAATATAAAGTAGACCTAAATTTAAAAACATATAGGGAAGAAAAGATGAGAAAAGTAACAATAGGTTCAAAATATGAATATTAAAAATTCCAGAAGGCATAGAGACAATCAGAGGGAGGAAATTATGAAAGAAAAAATCTCCATGAACTGAAGAATATACCTTCAGGATTGAAAGGGCACCCTAAGTATCCAGCACAATGAATGACAGGCCCACACCAATGTACATCACAGAATTTCAGAACAGAGGGCACAGAGGGAAGATCGTCAGAGCTGCCAGAGGAAAAACGTCAAAATAAAGAACTAGGAATGAGAATGGGATTAGATTTCTCAACACATCAGCACCTCCAATTCACCCTTTTTCAAGAAGCTGGAATATGTGTTCGTTTGACATGAGAGAACAAATCAAGAGAGCAAAAAACATGGGACCCAGGAAACCCCAACCGAGGGGAAGGAATTCTCAGAGGCACAGTAAATAGGGCTCTTAGGATGATACCTGAGTCATGAGAGCAATCGATCTAGTTTGCATGTCTCTGAAGGTTAAAAAAAATGGAACTGAGAGATCAGCTTATGGGTTTGACCAAATGGAGAGGGACTGCACAGTTCTTTGAAAATTTAAGAAGAATGAGAGATTCTAAACAATAAGGTAAACAAAAAGTAGGCAATTTTTTCCTTCAGGAAAGAAGACAGGAAGAAAGAAAATAGTACCTTATTTGGCTTGGCTGTGAGCAGTATTTACATGGTCATAACTTAAACACTGGCGGTGGTTTACGAATTATGACAGGACTCGATTAGGAGAATGTGCAGAGGAGAAGAGTGTGTGCGAGACGGGGAAAGGCTGACACTGGCCTTCACCTTCTGCGGTAGTGTGTGAAGCTGATCACTTAAGAAATCACCATGTGAACATATCATTGAGATAAATGGGAGGAAAAACAACCCCAAAAGCCCCGTTTAAAAGAGTTCAAAGTATCATCTGAGAAGGGGAATTCAGGGATGAGGGCAGCTAATTTAAAAGAGTTCAAAGTAACTGCATCTGAGAAGGGGAATTCAGGGATGAGGGCAGCTAAACAGAGAACTATTCTTTTTTCTATTCATTAGAAGTCTTTCAAATTTTGATTTTTCAAACTACGGAAAATTTGATGAAACATTTCTGAAAAGAAAATTAAATGAGTCCCAGAGAGATCAGCCCACGATCACACACTATCTTTTGGTGTCTGCTCTTGTTTTGTGTTTGTTAACCTTGACTCTCAGGTTACCATCTAAATAAAATCCCTGAGGACAAGAGTGACATCTTGTACTTTTTTAGTAGTGCTCACAGCACCTCGAACATGTTAATTAATATCTTCCAATTTCTGAAATTTTCATTAGATCTGTTAAGAGCTAATGAAATTCCCCAAGGCATGTTAGTGGAAAAATTTAAATAGCGTGGTTGATATTTAAGCCCCGATAATGAAAATAATTCGCTCCCTCCTTAGGCTGATACTGGTCAATGGTTTTGCAATACAATTCAAAAATCTTTTCTAACTGTGCATAGCACAGACAACTAAATTCAAGGTATAACAGTCTCAAATCATACTGGACATACATAAAGTAGGGCAGTAGTTAAACAACAAAACACTAAACTCACTGGCAGAGTTGTTGTGAGCCTGGGCTCTGGAGCAGGCGTGCCTGGGTTTGACTACTCCACTTTCTAGCTGTGTGATCAAATTATTAAAAGGCTGTGCCTCTGTTTCCTCATCTGTAAAATGGAGATGCAGTATTCTCCATTCCGTGGATTGGTGTGAAGATTCAGTGAGTCAATGTCAAATACTTAGAGCAATGCTTAGAGCCCAGTCATGGGTGAAAGAAGAGCCCCTCGTCCGCTAGAGGGAGGTGATTCATAACTTCTTCTTCTTGGTATCTTAATCACCTGACAAGATGCCTGGCAAACAGTAGGCACTCAATAAATGCTTTATTATTTAGATAGTAAGCAGTTGAGTTATATGTGTGTCATAAAGAAATGAATATTAAGAGTTATATGACTTAGGTTCCCATTTCTATTTTTGTCACTGATGAATTGTAGCACTGGTCAAATCACTTTGCCCGTATGAGGCTTTGCTTCCTGATCTGTAAAATGAGAGCAATGATCTAAGTTCCTGTTATCTTTATTTCCTTTCAGATCTGAAATTTGACTTGGGTGGTACCAAGAGATGTTAGAAAAGGTTTCCGGTGGAGCCTACTATATAAGCATTCTCTTGGATAGTCTGGGTACTAAAAACAGCAAGAATATAAAGTAGAACAAAGCTAAAGGTCCTAAGGTATGATCTTGAGACAAATTTGGGCAATCAACTCTTTGATCGTGTTACATCTGTTTAAGGCTAAACTGTAGCTATATGTCTCTCTGAGTTAAATCGGCCATTCTTTATGTTTTTAAAGCCAGTGTCTAGGAGGTTCATTAAAACAAAAGCTAAACTTCTCCAAGTTATAAACTAAAGTCTAAAGTATTGTGGTATGGAATATTTAGCCCTCTGAATTATCTAAATGTTTAACATCCAAATCTCCAGTCCCAGGATTTCTACTTTCTTGCTTCAGTGTAGCGCTTAAACTGAAATGGATTGAGGTGAATTAAGTGATGTCAACTTGCAGTGATATCCAATGACCCTCTAAGTCCCTGGGAACTCCAAGGTCCTAAGTCGGCTATTAATTTTCATTACCATCCTGCCAAGTGGCTAGAAGTGCCTGCAGCCAGGACCACTGTCTGAGGACTGAACATAGCACCATGCTTAGGAGCGCAGATTGGAGTCGGTTTGCTCCAATCCTGACCCCCACGCCAACTGGCATTCTGCCATCCTGTGTCTCAGTTTCCCCTTCATAAAATGGGGCCAATGATAGTGTCTACCTTATAGAATGGTTGTGAAGTAAAAATAAATAAAGCGTCTGGAATATAGTAAGCTCCACGTAAGTGTTCACTATTGCTATTATCTTGTGGGTTTCATGAGTTTCATTGGCTGAAACTCTACACCAAAGGCCTAAGATAACGAAGAGATGAATGCTAAACTGCACCAATATTTAAATCATCAAACAAATTCCTGTGCTACCTTTCAAAAAGATAGAATCTTATGACTGACAAGGTGTAGTCAGTGTTTCCTGATTTTTTTGACTGAGATTTATGGCAGTAACTATTATCTTTTATCATGACCCAAGACATGCATGCTATTGTCAAAGGGAAAAAAAGTCCCCGAACTAAGAAATGAGAAAACTGTGTGTTCTGTCTCTGCTTGTGGCTTAAGAAAGTCACTTAACCAACTTGTTTAAATCAGAATTTGTTAGTTGGTGCTCTGCTTCTAATCTCTGTCTGACACCAGTTCGTGCTTCCATGTTAATTGTCAGACACAACTGTTGAAGATGAAACCTTGTTATTCTAATTATCAGCCGCAGATGTAGTCTTAGCATTAACTTCTCAGATCTTCCTGCCCCAAACTGATATGGATGTGATATTTCTATGGCCTTGTAAAGTGAACTTTATATTTTATAATTTTTCCTCATTTTTTAAAAATTAGCTGCTTAGGTAAACATTCTGTTTCCCAACTATGTAATCTTTCTCTTTTCTTATCTTCTCTGAAAGATATACTCTTTTTTCACTTCATTGATTCTCTTGCCAGCAAGGACATAAATTCTGATATATGCTGAAGAGCAATCTAGATTTTAACATATCTATTATTAAAAAAAGTTTCTGAAAATATTTTCACTTACTATATGCAATATACTTACCTTATTTTTCTTGTATTTAATCTCTTTAAAAAAAAATACCACTCATCACCCACTATACTGATTTGATGATCTATGGGTATTCTTGGAACCACAATTTGAAAACTACTGCATTAAATTCCTCAAAACGGACCACACATTTATTATTTCCAAATGTACGTGAAATATCTGGCAAGGTTTTGACTTGGAAAGGGTGAGAAGGAAAGCACTTTCAAAATGTGAGAAACAGCTTTGCATGTTTCTAGGGAGCGATATGTTAAAGTTTCTCTTTTTGTATGAGTAGGAAGAGATACTAATTGACCAAGAGTTAGCAATGTCAGCAGCCTAAGGAAGCAGGATGAGGGGGACAATGGGAGAAGGAGAGCAAAGAGGAGTAGTAAGCCCAGGAGGTTTCGCTGTCTCAGGCAAGTCCCATGAGTCAAAGAGCAGCAGAAACTACCAGAGGCACGGCCAGAGGGGACAGCACTTAAGAGCTGGCAAGTACAGGAGTAGCCCAATAAAGGAGACAAAAAGCAAATAAAAGTGCTAAATAAGGAAAAACTATATGGCAAACATTATGAGAAAAAGCCTGAGGCTCTTAGAGCAGCAATCAAAGGAATTCTATAGTAGGAGATTCCTCTGTAAAAGGCTGTAGTGACCAACTATTCTGTTTTTAAAAGCTTGACTCCCTTCAAGGCTCTTCTAGAATCTGAATCACTATTCAGTTGCCAAGAGTTCAGGGACCGATACTGAACTGCTCCAAAATACTCGCCTCTGTCTCCTCCTGCTCCGCCCTTCCCCGCCTCTACCCACCCCCTTCCCCAACTAACATCATTGCAAATGTCTATTCATGCATATGGACAGAAAAGGATAAAAATAAAGATATGGCCTTAAAGATAATGACAAACATTAAAATAAGGAGCGACATGTGCGGTACAAATTTGTAAACAGCATTTAGAGACAAACTATTTTTCTCCAATTTTCTCTGCACTTTAATTTTGCCGGTTAGGCACAGTTCACTCTCTTTTCTGCACAATGTAGGCAGCTAAAGAATCTATATGGAGATACTGTTGCTAAACTTTAAAAGGTTCTTTTAAATAATGTTCATCAAGTATAGTACACATGTATCTGAAGTTGTTAAACTTTAAAAGGACATAAGAATTTTAAAATAATTTGAGATAATAATAAATGACAACTATTATTTACTGAGGTTAGGTGTTTACACAGTGAGTTCTAATTACAGATGAGGGTAACCAAGATACAGAAAAGCTAACCAATATACTGAAGATCACGAAATTATTAAGTGACAGAGCTAGGATTTGAAACCAGGAAATTTGGCTCCAGACTCCGTGTTCTAACCCACTATACTAATGTAAGCAAAATAAATAAAAAGAAAACCATTCCCAGGATTTCTTAGTTATTTTCAGATCCATTTAGATAATATAGAGCCTATATAGCTGTATATTTTCATCTATATAAGAGGATGTTTTCTACTCTTCAATGTATAATGGCCTAGTTAAACTTTATATCTAAATGTAAGATTTAGCTTTGTAATCGTATTACATACCATAGGTTCTATTTCCTTTGGAGGTCTTTCAAGGGGAGGAATGTACCATTGAAAGCAAAGTTCCTTGTTCAAAGCATGTGTTGCCATATCTGATATCAGCTCTACACAAGATGGGCTGGCAGGGACCTTTAATGATAAAATGGAGTGTAGAGAACTGTCACGAAGTAACTAGGGAACAAACAGAAACATCAGTTTAATTGCTGGTAATGAATTCATTCAATATTTAAAACATTCATTTAATATGCATTTAATATGGGCTACATTAGATAACTCCGGGAATTGTTTCAGCTTGTTTTTTGGATATAGATTTTAAAACTCTCTTTGATTACCACAGAGAAGTTTGTCCTGCAGAAAAATATGCTTTAAAATCCAGTGAACTCAACAAATGTCTTCCACTTTAGTGAGTCTCCCAGATTAAAATCCTAAAGGGGAAAATGTCCATGCTAGCATTTCAGTCTTAAGGTCGCCATGGAGTCTAAGAACATGTCCTACTTTTTTCTGGCTTATTCTGCTGATGAATCTACTGAGGGTGTGGTTATAATTTATTATCTATTTTCCAATAGCATTTTTTTTTTTGTAGTGCCCATGTGCAAAATAAGACATAGTTTTTGCTCTAAAAGATTAAAATCCATTATTTTCATTTCCTTTTTAAATGTGTGGCTGATTTGTCATTTCAGTCTTGGGGAATCTGGGCCCAGGTACTTTGATGGAACTTTGTCCCTAAATCAAGAGTTTTTAAGAATCATAAATATGTATAATCCAATTAGTAATTTCATAAATTATTTGCTTAGTTTTTTAAGGTAGCTAGGAAAGCAAAACATGATCAATATCAATAAAATAAGTCTAGCCAGAGAGATAATAATAGTGATAATAATATCTCAAGACTAAAAAGGACCTTCTTCAATGGAGTGCAAACTATTTTCAAAATTAACTTCTTGTTGAACAAGGGATGAGTTTGGGGGGCTGGATAAAAAAGGCGAAGGGATTAAGATATATAAATTGGTAGTTATGAAGCAGTGAAGGGAATGGGTGTAAAGTGCACCACAGGGATTATAGTCAATAATACTGTAATAGCTCTGTATAGTGTCAGGTGAGTACTAGACTAATTGGGCATGGGGGTGGGGATTTTTAACTGTATAAATGTCTAACCACTATGCTTCATACCTACAACTAATATAAAATAATATTAAATTTCAACTGTAATTAAAATAAAAAGAAGTCATGCCTACAATTTTAACAAAATCGGCATTATATTAAGAGATAATAAATATACGAATTAACTTCTGGTTATTCCCAAGATTACAGTATGGTGGCTGGGAAGCAGTTCCACTAAACTCCTGATATCTAAGGTATCTCAAGGCTTGGTGACCAAGGGAAACATGTCAGTGTCCAGAAAGAAATGCCGGGCATTTTTGAAAGGCTTTGTACCTCCCATTATTTCTGAGCCGATTCAAGATATAAGACTGTCAGTGCAAGTCTTCAAAATAAAATAAAAAGAGAAATAAAGACATCAACCTTTCAAGTTATCTACTGAAAAAATAAAAAAAAATATGTTTTGACTGAAAGGTAATATTAAAAGTGAAAAACTTTCCAAATGTCTAGAGACTATCATAAAAGGATATAAACCAGAATAATCATTTATTAGCACTATGACACTAAAAGCATGACAAAAATGCACAATAAGCAAGATTAGTAGCATTAAATAATCATTTTAAAAGGCTTAAGTAAGATTAATTCTATGTCAGGCAGTTCACCAAAAAATCAGGTAAATAATTGATTCGCAAAAATAATTTCTCATGTTTTTTCATATCTGAGTGCCTTTCAAGAGTCTGACAACTAATTTAGCAAAGACTTCATATTTAATAACTATGTAAGTGGAGAAAAATAACAAAAAAATACCTTTCTCTGCAATATAATGTTTATTAGCATAATGGTCTAATAATGGTAAATTGTAACAGAAGTCAATATCAAAATAGACATTTAATTTTCCATTGCCTTAAAAAATATCTAGTTGCTAATGAGATTAATTACACATGCTAATTGATGGAATATACACTGCGTACTTTTGATATGTTTGATTTATTCTTTGAAAGGAATGAAACAACAGACCTGCCAGGAGAACTTTTGTTTTCCACATCCTATGAACAACAAATTACTTTGCACCAGTCAAATATTTGACCTTACACAGATTGTCACAGGCACACAGTCTAAACATGAATAACTCAGTACCGTTCACAATTTAAATCATACCCTCTTTCTTTTTTTGGAATTTTTAATGTAATTTGCTCGGCATCTTTGTTTGTCTATCACAAAGCTTCGATAGACCTGACAACATGCAGACATAAAACTGATGAGCAGGACAAGTAGCAATGATCATTCTGGAAAGGCATCCACTTTGTGGGGGAGAAAAGCAGGTTTAAGTATCAAATTAAGGAAGGGGCTTGATTGAAACAGTCTCCTGAGTGATTAAAGGCTCAAAAGTGTTATTATAAAAATCAGCCAAGCTTGGAGATTATTAAAAAAAAAAAAATCCAAAGGCTTTATGCTTGTTAGCTGTCTACCCCAGTGAAACGAACACATGGTTAGGTGGCTTGCACCTGTCAGGCAAGCAACAGTGATATCCAGAGCTGATTATCTTGGGAGAGTGTTACACTAATTACATCAAAAAAAGAGCAAAGTGGGTGAAACAACTCTTTGATAACATTGCTGCCACTATAAATGTCACATGTATTTACAAGGTATTCAGGGTTGTACAATTGGAGCATCCTTTTTAGGAACTGGGTAATGATAGGCTGCCCTTAATATGAAGTACAGAGCTCCTTTCAGAACAGTATTTAAGAAGCCACACTTATTAGTTTCCAAATGCTTATAAAATATTCACATGGATAAGTGTATTAAAACTATAGTTCAAACCTTCCCATTCACTGCTCTCTACTCAAAATACCTGAGGTTATCTGGGACACATGGCAGTGACCTTCAAAGATGGTCTCAGTTCCCAGGAGGGGTGAATCAGAATTTGGTGTTAGATGGAAACGATAGCATCCCACTGTCTACCGCTTCCTTCCCTGGGGAGGGCCAGATGTGAACATTACATTCCTGGCCTTTCTACCTCCGCTCACTCCTCTCCCTGGGACAGATTTACTTGATTGGAGAATTTGGGGAAAGAATCTTGACCATGCACAGCTCTGCTCTATTTGTAGGGAGGGAACACTGTATGCTCCTTCATACAATGGAGGAGGACTCTGTCTCCACAGATTTTAAGGAGGTCTGTAATAACCAAAAAAACCCCACAAAAAAAACAAAAAAATAAAACAAAAAAACACATGGCTGTACAGGCAAATCTGTCTACTTTGCTATTCACTACTAAGGAGCCTCTTTACCAGTAAATAGAAGCTAAATCCTAAAATATCAACTTTATGATTCATGAAGGTATTATTTTAATCTCAATCTGCTTTACTCTTTTAATTCTCAAATAATTTAGAATTGGGGCGGGAAATGGGGGTGCTGAGTATTGAGCGTCTCAATACTCCAGTTATCTGAGAAGTTATTTGAAAAATTCTCCCATGTGGATTCCCATACACTGTCCTGGGGACAATTCCATAATCCCAGGTGACAATCACTTCTTTAACTGAATTCTTAAATATTCCTTAGTGGTCTTTCCACTTCTTTATAAAATCACAATTTATTAACAGTCATCCCACTCTCTTGTTTAAAACAGCAATTTCTTAAAAAAGTATTATGTACCCCAAACTATTTTCTAGTAGGATAAGATGAGCACAGTTTCCCAGTTTGGAACAAGGTCACTTCTCTGAGATAGCTGATGATAGAAACATGGATCCAATGTGAGCAAGTCTATAACTGTAAAAATTAAAGCCTTATATGGTAAAGTCCAAATTCAAGATAATTCAAAATGAATGAATGTTTTTCCTAGTTTTGAAAGAATTCTCTGCAAATGACTTGATTTATTCATCTCACAAATACATATTGGAAACTTGTAATACACTGTGTCAACTGGAATCTCAAACTCTGCATCTACAGAGCAGAAAACACCAGCCTTCTGCACAAAGGTTCTCACTCTGCAGCCTCCACCGTATCTGCTGATGGTGTTAGCATGCTCTAGGGATCACAGACAGAGGTTCCAAATGGTGAAACAGACTTTGATCATTTCCTCTTCCTCACTTTCTGTCTCCAAAGGGTCACTGAGATGTTTTGTTTTGTTTTCAGTTTTACTTAAGCAATATCTTTCAATCCATCCTTTCCTGCTCATTCCTATGATCAAAAACTTTATTACTTCATTATCTCTCTTTTGGATAACTTGCTTTCAACTATCCTTTGCCAATCAGCCCTACCCACTATTGACAATATAACTAACATATTTTAATTTTTACATTGTGTCTGCTACTAACCCTGCCATTTTCTCTTAAAAAGCATATCTGAAATTCCATAATTTTCTTCTGTTCTAACTCTACCAGTGTTTCTCATGGACCACACCAAAACTATGTACAGGGACTAGGCCTTATCCATCCCTTCTTTCTCCACCAACTAAGAGTATCTGGCATATTGTTAGTATTCAACATGTTATTGAATATACGAAATTTCAAATACACATTCCCGTTTTTAGTAAAACTCTCTACTTTTCAGTATCTTCCAAGTCATCGATTTTAGTTTATTGAAACATGACTATTCAAGACCCTAATAGCTTTAAAAATCAAAACAAACCTTCATTATACTCCTTTTTTTATTTCTTTTCAATGGGTAACTTAAAAGAAGTGTCCATATTACATACTCTGGGAAAATCCATTCAATTTAATAACGCTTTCCAAAAACTTTTTATTTCTTTTCAGTGGGTAACTTAAAAGAAGTATCCATATTACATACTCTGGGAAAGTCCATTCAATTTAATAATGCTTTCCAAAAAAAAAAAAATCTATATTTATTCACACTCATGATTGTAAAAAATACACAAAATAAATTTTTATAACATATTTAACACAAAGAAATTTGGGCATTTAAAAACTCTCAGTCTAGTTTTCTAATAGTTATTATATTGAAATTTGTGCAACTTGGCAAAATGACTGCCTGAGAGATATTAAATGCAGAAATATAGAAAATTCTGAGACATTTTGAAGATTTATGAGAACAGCATACCAAAATGTGAACTTTCCTAAAAATCCAGGATATTTGGTTGGCTTCTCTACGTGGTAAAGCAGAAATGAGCCTCCCCAAGGATTCTGAAGGAACTAGAAAACTGCCAGCATTGAGGTTAATGTGCTCCCTTCAGAAATATAAGAATGATTTTAATAAGTTTTACAAAATATATAATGTTTTAAAACATTACCTTGCCTGATGAGTCTTGTAAGACTTTTTCTGAAAAAGATGGATTTTCCAAACCTTGCAATAATTCTTTTGGAAATTCATCAATACAAGAGGAGGAATACAGCTGTAAGAATCTTCTCAGGAAAATGTGCATTTCTTTTTGGCGTAAAATCAACCCAGAGTTGAAAAGGGACGTGAAAAGTGTATCATCTGGCAAAGAAATTCCAGAATCTGCCTTCGGAGATGCTTCAGGAAGAAAAATATCTTAATTTAGAGTCATGTGAGATAACAGAATGGTCTCAATATTACTAGGTTTTGCTTACTATCTGGTATATCCCCACCTCAGCTAGTGGCTGCCAATGACTTTCCTCCATTTTTAGAGCTTATACACTAATGGAATTGCTTCTTGCCGCAGAAAGAAAATCTCAGAAGCATGTGAGGATGTTAATTCAGGTTCCAAGCCTTAACAATGAAAAATACTCTATCTAGCTGTCTTATTTTAGGCTCTCCCCCAAAAAGATCTTAAAGCAAGAATTTAAGTGCAAGTGATTTATTTGAAAAGTGATCCAAGGAGCACAAGTGAGAGAACAGGCCAAGTGTGATAGAGAAAAGACCCACTGAGAGTGAATTAATGAAGGGGCTACAGCTATGAACAATGAGGGCTCAGTCCTGCAGAGGAGCTTCTGGAAAAAAAAAAAAAGATATATACAATTGTCCCATCAAGGGACTGAGAAGTCAGAATATTGATCAACCAGTTCCCTACCTCATTAGTTGAAAGTCACCCCTGTGTGTGTGGAATACTGGCACTTCTAGGCTATCCTTCCTTTGGGCTGGGCAACCCTCAGTAACTTCAGAGAAAGCTCAGAGCAGAAAAGCAGTAAAATGTAGGCGTCTGACATGGGACTTGCAACAGGTAAATTCAGAGGTGAGCCAATACGGGACAGGGCATCGCCAAAGTCTGATGCCCTGGCTCATGTCCACTTCCTTAGCCACTGAACTTCCATTATTCTTACACCCATCGTGATGTAAATTTTACCCCTGACCCCTTTCTGATGCTTTTCTATCTTACTGCTAACTCCTGATAACTGTGCTTAGCCGCCCTGTGACTCAACGTATTAGCCCTGCTGGCTTCTCCATCACTGGGCCCTGGTATGGGTCAAACTGTCTTTTCTGACTGTTGCACTGATGAGCAACACTGGATCACCAATTTCATGGTTACAAATGAAACACAATAATATACATCATCACAAGACCACAAAAGGGACTGATGTGAAGGAGATTATATCAGTTTTTCAGGAAATTCTTCAGATACATCAATGATAAAATAAAACAAAACAACTCCATGGAGTTAAATATCCTATCTGTAGTCATGCGTTTCTTCTCTTCTACATACTGGATACTAAAAGACTCTCTCCTTAAAGCCAAAATTTCACCTTGTTCATTTTATAAGCTTGTCACATTGTGATCACTGGTTCTTAACTATTCAGAACCATGGGTCAATTTGGCAGTCATGAGAAGCCTCTGGATGCCTGCTTATAATAATGTTTTAAATACATTAAATAAAACATAGAACGTCAAAGAAAACCAATTACATTCAAATACGATTCTATTGAAAGGTCCATGTGTCTCAGGTGAAGTTTTCTTACAGGTAGTATATGAGAATTCCAGTATCTTCTGATGAGAATTCAGAGATATCAAAGTATTTTATAATTCTAAATAAAAAACATGACAAACAGAAACTGGAAAGGAATATGTTCTTTCTTAAAACATCAAAAATCTACCTAGAAGTTTGCTCATATTATTAATCCTTTGCAGGTGAATATAGTAGCGCAATAGAAGAATCCATGTAATATCCACTTTGGTCTGAGTCTTTTTGTTAGCATCTGTGTTGGCATTCACATCATCACTTTGGTAAAAAAATGTATAGCCAGTCTGGAAGACAACTTGGTAGTTATCTGAAAGTAAAAACAAAACAAAAAAAATTTTAATACAAATATTATGCATTTCTTGAAAGATGATAATACATGGAAAAAAGCTCAACTCATGAGACTATAATTGATTAAATTTTTTTGTATCACAAAAGACAACAAACACAAAGTTAAAATACAAATGACAGACTTAGAAACGATATTAAAAACACACAGGAATTGTTTTTATCTAATATATATAACACCTTGCACCAATCAGTAAAAAAAGGTCAAACAGTCTAATAGAAAAGTGGGCAAAAAATTTCAACAGGAACTCAGAAAAGGAAACCCAGATAGCCAAAAATTTTAGCATCACTAAAAATCAGAGAAATGACAATCAAAATCAAATACTTCCCTTAGGAAATGACAGACACTAAAATCTGAGAGTGATAAATACTGGTGATAATGTGAAGAAACCAGAATTCCCATTTACTTCTTGGGCAAGCAGTTTAGCAGGATCTAATAAAATTTAAAATTCAGATACTTACATAAAATTCAGTCTTGCACAAAATATTCACTACAGGGTTGTTTGTAAAATAAAAATAAATAAATAAATAAAAACTTGGAAAAATAAGTTCATTCATTTAAGATGAATTTACTAGATCTATAAGGTAAAAGTATAGTGTCTTGGTTCAAATTCCAGCTGCACTACTCACTAATGTGAGATCTTGAACCTCTCTGTGCCTTTAGGCCTCTCTAGGCTTTTGATTTCAGAGTCTTAATTTTCTCATCTTTAAAATGGGCATGATATTATTGAATTATACATCTGAAACATACTGGATTTTGTTAATCAATGTCACCATAATAAAAATAAATTTTTTAAATATTAAAAAATAAAATGGCCATGATAAGGGTGGTCTGGATAGATCTTGAAAACATATACTGAGTTAGCAAGCCAGTTCCGGAAGATATATAAAGTATGATACCATTGTATAAATTTGAAAGAACTCAATACCATACTTTGTATTATTTATGTATACATACACAAATATATAACATTTGATTAGGACAGTGGTTGCCTCTACAGAGAAATAAAGGGAAGATAAACAGGATCTTCTATGGTTAGTGGCATAGCATATTTTCTTGAATTGTAAGATGAATCCCCATGTACTCACTACCCAACTTAGCTAACAGAATATATCATTCTCGTATTTGGAGAGCCTCTAAAGCTCTTTCTAATCCCATTTCCTCTTCTCTGTCTCAGCCTGCCTCTAGAAATAATCACTACCCCAAATTTAATAATCCTATATGTTTCCTTTACTCCTTACTCATATATTATATATTCTGTATTACATATCATTTAATAAGTAACACATTGCTAATTTTATCTTTTGGGAACTTTATAGGGAATACATTGCTAATTTTATCTTTTGGGAACTTTATAGGGAAAATCATATTGCATGTATTTATCTATGATATTCTTTTTTTCACTAAACATTATGCTTTAAAAATTCATCTTGGCTGATGCATGTAGCCGTAAGCCATTGATTTTTCATTGCTGTATTATATTCCATTACTATGTGAATATACCACAGTTTATCTGTTCTACTACTGATAGACACAAAAATTGTTTCTAATTTTTGGTTTGTTGGCTGTGATTTTTGCCTTTGCTGTTATGAACAAGGCTGCTATGAATAGCTGAGTACATCTTGTCTACACATGTGCACACACTTCCCGGAAGCAGAATTACTAGGTTAATTTTCAAGAGTCTTTTGATCAATCTTGCCTTTTCCTTTTCCACATAAACTTTAGAATAAGTTTATCAAATTCCACTAAATAAAACCTAATAAAATTGTTATTGAAGCTACATTAAATCTACAGATCATTTTGAGAAGATTTGGCATCTTGTAATGAGTCTTCTTAACTATAAACTTGGTATGTTTTCTTATATTTCAATTTTTTTTGTTTAATAACTTATCAGATTAAACCTTAGATACCTTATACATTTTTGTACTATAGTAAATGATAGCTTTTTGATCAACGTTATAATTTACATGATCAAAAATAAAAATTCCTATCCCCAGAGGCAAGCATTTTAAAACATGTCCATTTTGTTTCTTTCAATGGTTTCTTTCAGTGGTTAGTTCCAGTTCTTAAAATCATTCCCTTATATCACTTTTCTGGATCATTAGTTTTAAAAAATATATCTATTGACTTTCTTTTGTGACAGATGCGGTACTAGCTCACATAACTATTCCTATTCACTTTGAAGTTTTTATATTTATATCAACATTTTTAGTTCCCCTATTATTTTCACATTAAGTCTATCAGTGATATCCTAAAGCTCTTTTTTCCTAGTTCTACCAACTATAGACAGTATCTCTTGATGTCTTACTTTGTAACCTAATGGCATCTGCACCCCTTCGCTTCCTTCCAGTTGCCAGGTTTCCTATTTACCAAGTTAGTAACATTTAATTTCTGTTCTGTATCTATAGTAGACCCTATTTCTTACAGAAGTTGAAAAATCAATAAATAATGCTTAAGTTATTATGACTCTAGAAGTACTGTTCACTGTAAAGCAACTGAATTTACTCTACTAAAGGTAAATATCACAACCTCATGACCCACAAAGGATAGAGTTCTTAGCACAAAAATCAAATTGATCGCTTTTACTTATTCCAATTTGTCAAAATCATGTCATATTCTAATTTGCTTCATTTTAACCATGAATTCCTGAAGACTATTTTTTCTTAGCATTTTTGAATGCCTTTTTTTTTCCTATTGGAAGAAGCAACGTTTCCATTCTTTATCATCTTCCTGTCTTCTAACTTTTTGGTTATTCTGATGCTGCCTAGAATCCATTCATGCATCTTGAAGACATTCTTGAGATTGCAAACTTGCTGCTCTCATTTGTATTGACATATTTCTAAGCTTCTGCACGGTTAGCAATACAGTGGAAGTTTTCCTTCCTTCCTTCCTTTGTTTCTTTTTTTCTTTTTCTATTTCATACTTGCTTCTTTCTTTCTTTGCAACCTTGTGTGCTAAGGTACATTTGCAGTAAATTCCTTTAAAAAAGTTTACCTAAAAATATTTGCAAATCATATATCCAATAAGAAACTAATATTCAAAATATATAAAGAACTCAAACAACTCAATGGCAAAACAAAACAAACAATTTAATTTAAAAATGGGCAGAGGATCTAAATAGACATTTTCCAAAGAGGACATAGAGACGGCCAACAGACACATGAAAAGATGCCCAACATCGCTAATCACCAAGAAAATGAAAAACAAGACCGCAATGAGATACCACCTCACATCTGTTAGAAAGGCCTATTATAAAAAAAAACAAAACTAGAAATAGCAAGTGTTGGAGAGGAGGTGAAGAAAGGAAATCCTCATACACAGTTGGTAGGAATGTAAATTGGTACAACCTTTATGGAAAATAGTATGGAGGGTCCTCAAAAAATTAAAAATATAACTACTATATGATCCAGCTATTCCACTTCTGGGTATTTATCTGAAGAAAACAAAAACTAATAAAAAATATGCACTCCTATGTTCATTGCAGCATTGTTTACAATAGCCAAGATATGGAAACAACCTAAGGGTGCATCAATGAATGAATGGATAAAGAAGATATGATTAATATAATAGAATAGATATATATAATAGAATACTATTCAGCAATAAAAATGAAATCTTGCCTTTTGCAACAACATTTATGGACCTAAAGGGTATTATGCTAAGTGAAATAAGTCAGAACAAAAAAGACAAATACCATATGATTTCACTTCTGTGTGGAATCTAAAAAAATGAAATAAATGGACAAACAAAATACTAATGAACTCAGATATGGAGAACAAATTGATGGTTGCCAAATGAGAAGGGGGTATGTGGGATAGATGAAAAAGAGGATGAAATTAAGTACAAATTTCAAGTTCTAAAAACAGTCATGGGATTGTGTATGGTACAGTACGAGGAAAATAGTCAATAGTGTTATAATAACTATGGTGTCAGATGGGTACTAGAATTCTTGTGATGATCATTTCATAAGGTATATAAATATTGAATCACTACGTTGTACACCCAAAACTAATATAATATTGTATGGCAACTCTACTTCAATTAAAAATAATTCCTCCATGTTCAGTTTGCTGTACTAACATCATTACAAAAAATAACTTTTATTCATTTCTCAAGCACCAAATAATCATATTGATCCCACCATGAGCTTCCCAATACTTAAATTTTTCTGATAAGAATGGTGGTGATAGTTTTATAATTTTATTTTTTAATTGTCCAATAAATACTTAGAAGTTCTGCATAATCCAGGGAATCATTATTTACCATATGTCTAATGCACAATATTTTAAAATTATGCATGCATAAAAGAACTATTCAAAATGAATGATAGACTAATGTATTTTAATGTAACAGCGTATGAAAAGTTCAACAATATTGTTTCCTATTCTACAATGGAACTTATTTTCAAGAAACTATCACTTATCTAGTGTTGGTTTGGTATCAACTAAGAATATCCACAATTATCTGAAAAGGCTCTTAAAATACTCCTTCATTTTCCAACTACATAACTGTGTGATTCAGAACTTTTTTTTTCTTTTATCTTAATTCATCTGTTTTAAAGCACTTGTAAATGTAATACCTTATGGGTTTACATTTTTTCATTGAAGAGATACACTTTCCATGCACCTTCTATTTTTATTCCCCCAGCTTTGTCTAGAAAAATGCAGAGAAGCCCTGGGAAAGGCTGTAGAGTCTGCAAAGTATAAAAAACTTCTTTTTGGTACCTGTTCTCTGAATGTTCCAAAAGATACAGTCAAAAATCTAGACTTTCTTATGGAGGAAAAGAAATCACCAAATATAAAAAGTCTGCAGATGTGTGACATAGTTTTAAATGCCTCTGGAATAATAGAAATTCACATCATAGATTTGTCCTTCTGTAACATTATTAAGCTAAATTTTAAAGAGATTTTTAATATGCTATTAATTTTAACATGTAGTGGGTTTACCATTCTTTCAAAATTAATAAACTTTAATTTTTCAGTTTTAATTTCTAACATTACTTTATTTCTTCTATAATAATAGATTTAATTTTTTTAACTATTTAAAGTAATTTGGGTAAATTATATTTACTCCCACAATTATAAATTTTCTAAAGGTTTCAAATTTATTTGGTTGGAATTAAAAAATATGTCTAGTATTTTAATTGCTGAATATCAGTGATGACTTTTCTCTTATTATATATCATTTGTGGGGGGGTTACTATAATTAATTTTCTTAAATAAGTTGGCTAATACTTTATTGTTTTTCCCTGAAATTATATCTTTAAGTCTAATTTATTATATACATATTATAAAATGATACAAAATAATGTCAAACACCTCTCACATCAATTAACTTAAATTGACTAAAGTTGTCTATTATCAAAAAATATTATCAGGTTTTAAAACAAAGAAAACCCAACTATGTTCTATGTTAGAGTCATATTTAAAATAAGATTATTAAGAAAGATAGAAAATAAAAGCATAGGCAGATGTGTACTTGGAAAATGTAAACCAAAAAAAAGCAATATTTGTGAACCTAGTATCAGACAAGGTAGAATTCTGGCCAAAAAGCACTAAATGGAACCAAAGTAGAACCTTTATAATGTTATAGGGTATAATTCATAAAAGATGTAATAGTTAAGAATATTCATACCCTAAATAACATAGTATTGACAATAAAAAAAAAACTACAGATATACAAGACAAGAAACAATTATATTAGTTGCAGCAGACCATTAATCACCTTGTCTGGGGCTTGTTGCTACAGTCCATGGGCCAAATCAGGCCTATTATGTTTATGAATGATCCATGCACTAAAAATGGTTTTTATACTTTTAAATGGTTGAAAAAAATCGAAAGAAGATTATTTTGTGACACATGAAAGTTATATAAAATTAAAATGTCAGCGTCTGTAAGTAAAGTTGAAATGGAACACAGCCATGCTCATTCATTTACATTTTGTCTATGGTTCCTGCCACATTGCAATAGGAGAGTTAAGTAGCTGGCAAGAAAGACCACAAAGCCTAAAATATTTACTATCTGGCCCTTTCCAGAAAACATTTGCTGACCTCGACTTTGTTTATGAATGATCACATGAAGAGAAATATCTAAAGATAATAAATATAGAGACATCAAAAGCAACAAACATGACAAACAAACATAGACTCATGAACAGGGACAGTGGATTAGTGGTTACCAGAGGGATGGGGTAGAAGGGGGTGGTAGATAGGAGTGAACGGAGTCAAATATTTGATGATGGAAAGAAATTCAATGTTGGGTGGTGAACACACAATGTAACATACATATGATGTATTATTGAATTGTACACTTGAAACCTATTTGATTTTATTAACCAATGTCACCTCAATAATTTTAATTTAAAAAAATAGCCTCCATATATATAGAAACTAATAGAAATATAATGGAAAAATTTACAATACCAATAAAAAGGTAAAATATTTAAAAATAAATCAAACAAAAACATAAAGATCTATCTGAAAAAAAAAGTTGAAACACTTTTAAGGCGCCAGTAAAAAAATGAAAAGTGGAAAAATATAAAGGGCATACAACATTGTGTAAGATGACTCAATAGTATAAAAATGTAAGTTATCTCTAAGTCAATGTCTAAATGTAATGCAACCTCAATAAAAATACAAGAGGACTTCTTTTAAACTAGACAAGCTGCTTCCAAAGTTAAAGGAATAAAAATCATAAAAGTCAAGACAAAAATTTTATTTTAAAAGACAATGAGCAGAGACTTACACTAATATATATTAAATACATTATTAGGCTCCAATAATTAAAACAGTTTGCTATTTAACCTTGGATAGGTAGATCAATAGGAAATAAAGAAAAAGTACAGAAATAGGGTAGTCACCTTGAAAAACTATTTTTGTATCCTTTGTCACTTTTAACATATTCCAAATAGATTTCAAAAAAATAATTAAAAGAATCCATGAGAGAACTCAGAGTCTGAGTAGAGAAGACCTTTCAAACTGATAGAAATCCAAAAGTTATCAAAGAAAATATTAATAATTTATACTGTATAGAAATAGAAAGTTTCTTCATGGACCTGAACCAACATAAAAAATTGATAAATTGAAAAAATATATTTACAAATAATATTATCATTAAAGGGTTAATTTCCATAATAAAGGGATTATATAAATAATAAAGAAAAGGCAAAAAAAACCTCAAGAAAAAAATAAGCAAAGATTATAAGCAGAAGGTTCACACAAACGATGCTCAACCTTAGTCCTAGTAAAAGATGTGCAAATTAAAATTAAATCTTTATCCGCTCTCTGGAATATTGACAAATGTTTAAAAAATGTTTATAATGTACCTATGTCAGCAAGTGTGTAAGAAAAGTACACCTTTTATTAATTTCTGACAGGAATACAAACCGGCATAATATTTATTGAAGGCATTTGGCAAAATTTAACAAAATAAAAAAATGGATCTCCCTTTTGATCCAGAAATTTCTCTTATGGGAATTGGCCCAATAGATACGCTAGCCTATGTACAAAATTTTATATATATATATATGTCTGTGTGTGTTTATATATATATATGTATATAAATATAACTAGATATCTATAGCAGAGTTGTATGTAGCAGTAAAAGAGTAGAAACAACCTAAACATCAAAGGGAAACTAATTTAATTACAGTGCATCTCTATAAAGGAATATTATGCAACAATAAAAAAGAAGTTATGTATTGACTTGAAACAACTGCCAATAGATACATTTATATAAATTAAAAAAGAACAAGGAACATAGTTGTGATTATAGTTATAGTATTATTTGTATTTTTAAGGGAAAAATGTATCAGTATATTAGTGTATGTACCAGATCGGTTCACTCAACATCTGTCCTAATCTCCAAATGTACTTTCCTATATTGAAGAAGTTACAAAGTTAAAAATTGTGTTTCCATTATTTCCTGCAGCTAGGGAAAAATGCATCAGTATATTAGTGTATGTACCAGATCGGTTCACTCAACATCTGTCCTAATCTCCAAATGTACTTTCCTATATTGAAGAAGTTACAAAGTTAAAAATTGTGTTTCCATTATTTCCCTGTTCCTAGGATGAGATTTAGGAACCACAAATCCAGTGCATTTGTGCAAGATTTGTAGGTTAGAGCCCTGCTAAGTGGTATGGGAGACAGGATTCAAGGCCTGTCTCTTGCGGATGCGAATTCTGGCAGAGGCATTATGATTCTTGAGGTTGAAGCTAAAGCCAAGTCATCCTATTTTGTAGGCAGCTTTCTAATTCTACAACTTCCACAATGCCATATATGGTCTGAATGTTTGTGTCTCCTCCACCCCCAAATTCATGTGTTGAAATCCTTTGTTTTGAAAGCCAGGCCCTAAGACCCCTACCCTCTTCCAGAGGCTCCCAAATCATTATCCTCTCTAAGCTAAAATCCAATAAATCACTACAATTAAACCTTTGAAACTTGAGTACACATGTGTTGAGTACAAAATGCTTAGATATTCAAACATACCAAGCAAATAATCTGAGTATGAAGACAAAAGATCCACAGTGGCAAATTCTGGGATGTTAGGTAATATTCCTTGGCTAACTTTATCAGTTCTAGCATTCTTCTTTCCAATAAGTAGGTTAATTGCCAGCACAGCTTCACTGACCTAAAATTAAAAAATAATTAGAATTTATAAACGTACACTTTCTGATTCATAAATTACCCATTATGTAATGTGAAAAAGCGAATTCATAAAATAACATTCAGTATATACTGGAAGAAAAAATGAAGACAACCTCAAAAACAATGTTTCTCCAACATGTAGTATATGTCATAATCAAAGAAATCATTAGTATTGACAATATAGTTAATGTATAAATCATTTTAAAAATGCTATCTCACCTAGCTATGATAAATATTTACCAAAATGTCAAATATGTACACATGTGTATCTGCCAGTAGTTTCATTAAAGCTGAAGCAAACAAAGTCTCTATCACTTGGCTGATAGAGATTAAAAACACTACACATATAAAGAGCATTTCTACTCTTCCCAAAGAAACATCATTGATCCAAATCCCAAAGAACATAAAATTTTCCTTTCTTTTGTACAAATACATTGTGTTGCCCTAACAGCTGGTAGGTGGAGGATAAAGAAACAATAAAAAGAAAGATTAAATAAAGATCACACCAACCTGTGTAGCAGCTCTTATTGCAATCCAGGCCAATGAACCGTACATTTCAAATCTATTTATTATTGGTTCTTTAACAGAACTATGCCTTCTGGTAGAAACCTAAAAAACATGGCAATTTTTTTATGCTAAATATATATAAAGATATTAAAGTTTCACAATAAATTTTCTCATCTTCTAAAGATGACAATTTAGTGGAACTCTATGTAGCCATTAAAAATAATAATGTATTCCAGACAAGAAAAAGCTAAAGGAGTTTATCACCACCAAACCAGTATTATAAGAAATGTTAAAAGGACTTCTTTAAGAAGAAGGAGGAGATAAAAAAAAAAAGAACACAAATATGAATAACAAAGTGGCAATACCCACATATCTATCAATAATCACTTTAAATGTAAATAAATTAAATGCTCCAGTCAAAACTAAACATATAGCTAAACATATAAGAAAATGAGACCCATATATATGTTGTCTACAAGAGACCAATTTCAGATTGAAAGACGCAACAGACAGAAAGTATAGTGATAGAAAAAGATATTTCATGCAAATGCAAATGAAAAAAAAAAAACTGGGGTAGCAATACTTATATCAGACAAAACACTTTAAAACAAAGGCTATAATAGAGGCAAAGAAGGACATTTCATAATGATGAAAGGGTCAATCTAACAAGAGGATATAACCTTTATAAACATTTATGTACTCAACATAAGAGCACCTAAATATATAAAACAAATATTTACGGATAAAAAGGGAAAGATCAACGGTAATATAGTCATAGGAGGGGACTGTAACACCCCATAGACATCAATAGATAGATCTTCTAGACAGAAAATCAACAAGAAAACAGCAGCTTTAAATGACACATTAAACTAGATGAATTTAATTAATATTTTTTTGGAACATTTCACCCCAAAGAAGCAGAATATACTTTATTTTCAAGTGCACATGCAACGTTTTTCAAGACAGACCATGTTAGGTCGCAAAACAAGTCTCAATAAATTTAAGATTGAAATCACATCAAGCACCTTCTCTGACCACAATGGTATGAAACTAGAAATCAATTACAAGAAAAAAACTGAAAAACACACAAACATATGGAGGCTAAATAACATGCTACTAAACAATGAATGGGTTAAAAATGAGATCAAGAAAGAAAACAAAAGGTACCTTGAGACAAACAAAAATGAAAACACAATGACCCAAAATCTATGGGACACAGTGAAAGTAGTCCTAAGAGGGAAATTCATAGTAATACAGGATGATCTCAAGAAACAAGAAAAAGCTCAAAACTCAAATAAACAATCTAATCTTACACCTAAAGGAACTAGAAAAAGAACAACTCTACTCAAAGTGAATAGAAGGAAGGAAATAATAAAGATCAGAGCAGAAATAAATGAAATAGAGTCTAAAAAAACAATACGAAAGATCGATAAAACCAAGAGGTTGTTCTTTGAAAAGATAAACAAAATTAATAAACCTTTAACCAGACTCCTCAAGTAAAAAAGGACCCAAATAAATAAAATCAGAAATGAAAGAGAAGTGACAACAGATGCCACAGAAATACAAAGAATTATAAAAAAATACTATGAGCAATTATACGCCAATAATTGGACAATCTGGAGGAAGTGAATAAATTCCTAGAAATATACAATCTTCCAAGACCGAATCAAGAAGAAACAAAATATAAACTGACTGATTAGTATTAATGAAATCGAATCAGTAATAAAAACTCCCAACAAACAAAAGTCCTGAACCAGATGGCTTCACAGGTAAATGTTACCAAACATTCAAAGAATTAACACCTATTCTTCTCAAGCTATTCCAAACAATTCAAGTGAAGAGGCTTCCAGGCTCATTTTATGAGGCCACCATTACCTTGATTCTAAAGCCAGACATTATGGAAAAAAAAAAAATTTCGGCCAATATCTCAGATGAAGTTAGATGCAAAAATCCTCAATGAAATATTAGCAAACTGACTTCAGTAATACATTAAAAAGATCTTATACCACGATCAAGTGGGATTTATTCTTGAGATGCAAGATTGGTTCAATATTTGCAAATCAATTAATGTGATATACCACATAAACAGAGTGAAGGATAAAAACCATATGATCATATCAATAGATGCAGAAAACATATTTGACAAATTCCAGCATCCAGTTATGACAAAAAAACTTTAATAAAAGAGGGAATGTATTTCAACATAATAAAGGCCATATATGAAAAACCCAAGGCTAACATCATACTCAAAAGCTGAAAGTGTTTCCTTAAGATCAGGAACAAGACACTTTCACCAATTTTATTCAGCCTAGTATTGGAAGCCCCTAGCCACAGCAAACAAGAAAAAGAAATAAGGCATCTAAACTGAAAAGAAGGAAATAAAATTGCCATTATTTACAGGTGCCATGATACTATATAGAGAGAATCCTAAAGATTCTACATACAAAAAAATTATAACTGATCAATGAATTCAGTAAAGTAGTAGGATAATATAATAATAAATATTCAGAAATCAATTACATTTCTATATACCAATGATGAAATATCAAAAAGAGAAATTAAGAAAACAATCCCATTTACAATTGCATCAAAAAGTAAATAAAATACCTAGGAATAAATTTAACCAAGAAGGTACAAGACCTGTACTTGGAAAATTATAAGACATTTAAGAAAGAAATTGAAGAAGATACATATAATGTAAGCATATACCATGCTCATGGATAGGAAGAATTAATACTGTTAAAATGTCCACACTACCCAAAGCAATCCCAAATAGAATCAGTGTAATCTTTACCAAAATATCAATGGCATTTTCCATAAAACTAGAACAAATTATCCTAAATTTACAAGGAATGACAAAAGACTCCGATTAGCAATCTTGAGAAAGAACAAAGTTGGAGGTGTCATGTTACTTGATATAACTGTACTACAAGTGTATAGAAATCAAAGCAGCATGCTACTGGCATAAAAACAGATCAATAGAACAGAACAGAGAGCCCAGAAATAAATCTTTGCCTATAGGGTCAAGTAACCTATGGCAAAGGAGGCAAGAATATACAACGGGGTAAAAACAGTCTCTTTAATAAATGATGCTGGGAAAACTGGACAGATAACATGCAAAAAAATGAAACTGGACCACCTTCATACACCTTCTTACAGAATAAACTCAAAATGGATTAAAGACTTAAATGTAAGACTGAAAACTATAAAACTCCTAGACAAAAAACATAGGCAGTAAACTTTCTGACATTACTCTTACTAATATTTTTTCTGATATATCTCCTAGAGTATTAAAAACAAAAGAAAAAAACATATGGGACTACATCAAACTAAAAAGGTTTTGCACAGCAAAGAAAACCATCAACAAAACGAAAAGACAACCAATTAAATGGGAGAAGATATTCACCAATGATACATCCAATAAGAGGTAAATATCCAAAATTTATAAAGAACTCATGTAACTTAACACCAAAAACACAAGCAATCCAATTAAAAAATGGGCAGAGGACTTGAACAGACATTTCTCCGAAGAGGATATACAGATAGCCAACAGACACATGAAAAGGTGCTCCACATCACTAATCATCAGAGAAGTGCAAATTAAAACCACAATGATATATCACCTCACACCTGTAAGAATGGCTATCATAGATCATTTCAAAAAACAAGTGTTGGCGAGGACATGGAGAAAAGGGAACCCTCAGGCACTGCTGGTGGGATTTAAACTGGTGTAACCACTATGGAAAATAGTATAGAGGTTCCTCAAAAAATTAAAAATGAAACTACCTTATGACCCAGCAACTCCACTTCTGGGTATTTATCCAGTGAAATCCAAAACACTAATTTGAAAAGATATATGCACTCCTATGTTCACTGCTGTATTATTTACAATCACAAAGATATGGAAGCAGCCTAAGTGCCCAGCAATAGATGTATGGATAAAAATATGTGGCACATAATTTAGAATACTACTGGGCCATAAAAAAGAATAAAATCTTACCATTTGTAACATTGTGGATGGACCAAAGGGTAATTGAAAAATAAAAAATAATAAAACTGTAATTGAAAAATAAAAAATAATAAAATAATTTTTAAATTATGCAAAAATATCAATAATAAATAGAAAAGGCAAAAAAAAAAAAGAGAATAATAATGTACATGGATCTATTGACCTGAAAAGATGTTCAAAGTATATGGGGAAAGAAAAGAGTAGGTAACAAAATAGGATGCAAAATATGATCCCAATTTAAAAAAGAGATATGCATACACATATATTCTCTGTATATACAAGCAAAGAAAATTATTGACAGTGTTACCCCAGGTTTTAAGTGAGATTAAATTATTTATTAGCATTTTTTTCTAATTTTCTATAATGAGCTTACATTATCTGAATGACAAATACACACAAATGGCATTTTAAACATTTACTTTACCCCAAATGACATTTACTATTTTAACAGAGGATCTATCAATTCAATATATTATGTGTAAAGATGTCAGAAATAAAAATATTACTTAAGAGTTTCTAATAAGTATTTGCTATTTTTCTAATTAGGAAACTATTAAAGGAATGATGTAATCATAAAGTTCCATAGAACAGCAAGAAGTAACAATGAATGAAGAAATGTTTTACCATGAGTATGTGTGTGTGCATTCAGTTTTTAAACATAAGAAAGTCAATGCTAAAGAAATACGCAGAAAGAAACTCTACCAGCAACATAATATCTCTTTTACATTTTTACAGAGAGCTAAAATAAGTAATAATAGTCCATTTTTAAGATTCAATCTGGATGAAAATATTCAATTAGACTGTTTGCTTCTAATTTTTTGATGCTCGCATTTTGGCCAATTCTTTAATCTTCAAGAAAACTGCAGGAAAAAACGAACATAAAGATCTTTCTTTTACTTCTGTCTACAAGACTTCCAAGGAAAAGGAAAGGCAATGAATAATGCTGATGCCAGAGCAGGAAATACAATGTGCACACATGGCCTGGGCTAAATTAAGTGTTAACCTTGGAGGCAGATGATATCTGGAGCTATCTGCCTATGGGGAATCTAACCAATACAGCCCTGTCCCAAGATAAGAAGACCCTACTAGCTGTTATGAAACACTTAGGCTCTGGGGTAGCCATGGCCAGCTTACTGGCTATATAAAAATTTACCTACTTAAATTCTGGAAACAAGACTAATAGACATTAAATGAAGAATATAGACTAACATTAAGTGACATTATAGTCACTTAGTGACACAGACATTAAGTAAAGAAAGAACTAATTTTGAATTGAGGGGAAAGTTTTATTTATTGGGGAAGTCAGGCTTCAGCTCAGAACAGAAAAGTATGGACTGGAAAACGAATACGCTGGGCATTTTTTTATGGGGGAGGTGTCTGACATTGCATAGGAGATCCTAGCCCTTGCAAACAAGTAAGAAAAAGTGAAAATGCACCTACATTGGAAATAAACAAGTGAATTCGTCTTTGCAGAAAACATGATCTTACATGTAGAAAATCCCAAGACACACACACATACACACGTGCACACACACACACATAACACACACAGAATTAATAAATGTGTTTAGCAAAGTCATAGGATATAAAACTCAATACACATAAATCAACTGTATTTCTATGAAGCAGAAATGAACAATTTGAAAATGAGATTAAGAAAAAATTCCACTCACATAAAAATAAACTTAACAAAAATGTACAAGATTTGTATACTAAAAAGTAAAACTATTATTGAGAGAAATTAACTAATATCTAAATAAATGAAGAGACAGTTCATATTATGAATTAGAAGATTCAATATTGTTAAGATGGCAATGATCCCCAAATTGGTCTATAGATTCAACACGTTTCCTACCAAAATACTTAGTTTTTGCAGAAAATGGCAAGCATATTTTAAAATGTATATGAAAATGCACAGGACTCAAAGTAGCCAAAAAAATTTTTGAAAAGGAAGAACAAAGTTGGAAAACATGTACTTTCTAATTGACCTATAGATCAATAAAATAGTATTAGGGGTCTACATTTATGATACACATTTACACTTATGATCAATTAATTTTGACAAAGGTACTAAGGCAATTCGATGAATTAAAAATAGTCTTTTCAACAAATAGTGCTGGGAAAACTGGACATCTATGTACAAAAAGATGAATTCAAATATTTACCTTACATTTTACACAAATATTAATTCAAAATAGATCACAGGCAAGCATAAAAGCTAAATCTATAAAAATTTTAGAAGAGAACATAGGCAAAAATCATCAACATCTGAGGTTAGTTAGGCAGAGTTCTTAGATATGCCACAAAACGCACAATATATTAAAAAAATGATAAATTGGACTTCATTAAAATTAAAAACTGGTTTGTCTCCAAAGACACCATTAGCAACATGAAAAGACAAGCCACAGACTGGAAAAAATATCTGCAAATCATATAATTGATAAGGAACTTCTATCCAGAATATATATTAAAATTCATAACTCCTTTTTGTTGCTGAGTTATATTACATTGTACATATTACTAATATGTGAGTATTACTCAGCAATAAAAAAGAATAAAATCTTGCCATTAGTGACAACATGGATGGACCTAGAGAGTATTACAAGTAAAATATGTCAGACAGAGAAAAAATACCGTATGATTTCAATTATACGTGAAATTTAATAAACAAAACAAATGAATAAGTAAAACAGAGAAGTTAATGGCTGCCAAAGGGGAGAGAAATGGGGGATGGGTGAAAATAAATAAATAAATAATAAATAAATAGCTCACAACTTGATTAAAAAAAAAAAAGACAACCCAATTTAGGTTATGGTCAAAGGACCTAAATAGACATTTCCCCAAAGAAGATATATAAACGATCAATACGTACATAAAAAGATCTTAACATCATTGGCCATCAGAGAAATAGAAATCAAATCCCCCCAAAAATACCACTTTATACCCACTAGGATGACTACAATCAGAAAATAGTTAATAACAACTGTTAACAAGTATGTGGAGACATTGGACCCCTCATACACTGCTGGTAAGAGTACATAATGGTATGGCCACTTTGGAAACAATCATCAGAAGGTTAAAAAAACACAGAGCTGACGTATGATCCAGCAACTCCATTCTTAGGATACACTCAGGAGAATTAAAAACATATGTCCACATAAATATTTGTATATGAATGTTCAAAGAAGCATTAATCATAATAGCAAAAAACTGGAAATAATTCATATGTCCATCAACTGTTAAATGGATAAAGAAAGTATGATATATCCAATAAGGAAAATATATCCATATAAAAAGGAACCAACTATTGTTACATGCTATAGAATGGATGAACCTCAAGAACATAATGCCAAATGAAAAAAATGTATGCACAATAGACTACATATTGCTTGATTCCATTTATATATCCAGAAATGGAAAATCCACAGAGATAGAAAACAGATAAGTGGTTGCCTAGGGCTAGAAGTAAAAATGGGAATGACTGCAAACGGGCACTAGAGATCTTTTTGGAATGACTGACGTGTTCTAAAACTGATTGGTGGTGATAGTTGCACAACTCGGTAAAGTTAGTAAACATCTGTGAACTGCACTCTTAAAATAGGTTAATTTCATGGATGTAAATTATACCTAGATAAATCTATTTTTAAAATGTGGGCTTGATGATCCTTCTCTCTCTTTGGATGATTTTTCTCCCACTTAACTACTCGGAAAACTTCTACTGATCCTTCAAAATTCATCTCATCTGTGAAGCTTTCTCCAGCATTCCCCCAAAATAAAATTAGCCCCTACTTGGCCTCACTTCCCTACCTTGATATATCCTGATTATACTCCACATTATACTGTGATACAATTATTTCTCTGTCTTGCTAAACTCTGCGTTCCTTAGGAAAAGAGAGTAACATGCCTGGCATACATAAAGTACTCAATTACTGTCTGGTCAATGAATGAGTAAATAAATGAATGTTCAAAATATAGTCAATTCATCTTAGCTAACAAATAATTATTAAACATCTACTATATACAAAATGCTTTAGAAAGATAGAATGTGGATGTTTAACTGAAATTTTGTAGCGATGGAGAATAGTTCCCTTGAGTATCTATTATGTGCCAAGTCCATTACATTGTTTAATTCTCCCAGCCACTCTACAAGGTAAGTATCATTGTATCCATTTCACGGATGAAAAAACTAAGTTTAGAAAGGCTCCAATCACTGTTAGTAGGCCTTGAAGCTTGGATTCAAATCCAAACCAGTGTTGTGGTCACTCTGCTATATGGACTCCATAAAAGCGAAACAATAATGCTTTCTTTTAAGGGTTTATAATGCATCATCTTTATTAAGACAATTCTCAAATGTTATATCTCAATGGTCTGAATGTGTCTGGATGAATTTTTGTGTTTGTTTTTGGCTGTTTTCTGTGTATCTAGTAATTGTATGACTTGTTAAAATATTTATACTGTGTCAAGATATACAAAATATAATAATCACATTGTATGGAATTGTATTATTCTTTCATTCAAATTCTAACTTGTTCAAGCTCTTAATTATAAACACTTCTCTAGTGAAGGCCAAAAAGTTGATATATTATTTTCCCAGGATCCTATTAATTTGTATCGCTACTTGCTATGAAAACAAAAATTTTTACTTTCTCTTACTGGAAATAAAAATATTTATCACATCACAAAAAGCAACTTTTCTATGTAATCATAAATTTTTGATAGAAAAAAAATTAGCTCCTATCCACCAAAGGCAGCTACTATATGAATAATTCAATTGATTGAAAGCTTGTTTGCCTAAAAGTTTTAAATCATGTTTATGCTATCCCATAATTAGAGATTTGATACCAAAACTTTCTGAAAAGACCTCTTGGCGGGTCCATGAGAACAAAGACAGAGTTTGGCTTCAACGCTTTCTGGAATATTGCCTGGATCACAGTAGGTGCTTAATAGATACATGATGAATGAATTGATGACTCGATCAAAAGGTGATCTCTTTGCAGGCCACATCAGTAATGAAAACTTTACTTGTCCATCTGCATAAGCAATATGTTATTTCCTGCAGTTTCCTGATCAATACTAATGACTATTACGTGCACCTGCATTTCATGGATAAAATTTTAACACACAAAAATGTCTACAGGGAACCCATTCCCAGAACTTTACATAAAATATCCAAATAGGTATCTAAACCCAAGTGTGACCACAAGGCAATAAATTAATTTCTCTAAGTCAAACAGCAAAATCAGTCTCATTATTTCAATAGCACAGTGTTACCAAAATAGCAACCTCAAAAGGCAATTCACTTAAAATTTCTAATAAAGTAGTTTTATTAGAAATAAATAAAATAGTTACCTTAGATATTAATGGTGCTACTGAAAGTTTGTTCTTTGGCTTCTTCAGATATAAATATGATAGGGCCATCTCTAGATAGGAGTCCCTTATCAACCTAAAATGATATAGCATTGTACTTAGCAAATAGCTTATAACTCACAATCATTTTGCATCATTTGCCAATAATTTCTGAGCCAATGAAAGGTGAAGATGGGCAAAACCAGCATCTGTCCCAAGCTCACACCCCCTTCCTAAAGCACTTTCAGCACTGACACTAACATCTGCCTCCCTACTGAAATCAGAAGCTCTTAAAGAGAGCTGAGCACTGTACCTTGTCCTGTGCTGGTAACCCTCCACGCCATGACTGATTGAAGCAGAGCATGACTGATTAAAGACCAGTCTGGAATATTCCATCAAACAGAGCAGTAAAGAATTGAAGGTGAGGAAAGGAGGAACCTGCCTTGAAAATCAAGCCTCTCTCTACCTTCCTACAATAATTTATATAGAAGGAGAGGCACAGAGTTCTGCAGAAAGCAGGGATTTGGTACAGGTTAGGTCTGTATGTTCACTATCAGACTGGTCAGCTGGGGCCTGTTGTAATAATGGTACAGCTGTAACAATGGTGGCATACTCTCAGTCTTGATGGAGGTGATTTTTCTATAGCTTAAGCAAGTCAGCCCTGTTACTGCTAACCAGATTGAATATCCACGTAATTCCTTTCTAGATACAATTTCACACTTAGGGTAGGCCCCTGTAATCCTGGGACTGACAGGAGATTGGTCTGAGTGCAGACTAGAAGTGATGTACAGTCCAGTGTGCCACTATGATAATCACCATCATCAACCACCACTGTAAACACTTTAGATCACAGCAAAGAGCAACAAGCTTGAAAACGAAGTCAGTACACCTGTTGGACAGTGGACCCCAGTGAACTAGACCTGCTGTGAGAAGAGGGTCTCCAACCATTTCAATTTTGAATATTTAAAGTTCTACCAGAATATAGTGCTCAAACCAAAACACATTGTTATGATAGTAGAAAGACATTTTCTTTACCCTGAATTTTGATCATGTCTCAAGCTTAGTTGTATAGCTTCAGATAAACTCTCAAATTGTGAATTTGGAGATCTCTCTTCCGTTAATAATTGACGTTCTATTTTGCCTGAAAGAAAACGACATACAAAGATGGGTTTTCCTTTTTCTATCATTTAGAACTTCAAAACAAATATTTCATGCTGGAAATTCAGAAAACTGGATGTGCTTTCCTTTTTACCTGTCTGTTGCTTCTTGCTGGAAGGAAAAGCAATGGGGAGAGATCTTTTGCCTCCTTCCCTAGGAGTCTCAGGGTTTCCCTGCCTCCAGTTAGCAAACAATGAGTCAAAACCTCCTTTGGCTTTCCAGACACAACCGTTCCTACTGTCCTCCTATTCTCTCCATTTCCTTCCTTTGCGCTTCCTCTTCCTCCTGTGGTACTCATTCCCTTTTTCTACATCCGTTTTCCTGTCTCCTCTGACTGCTATCACAGTTAGTAGTCCGAAAACATCTCTAAAATCAAAAAGTCCTTAAAAGTCAGCAAACACTTTAAAACTACTATGGATGATGCAAATGCTCTAGTTCTCACACAGCTCCCAGCCCTCATGGTGAGCTGCAGCCCTCAAATATAGGTACTGGAATGGCCCTTTTGTAGCAAAAAGGGAAGGAAAGGGAAATCTCATAATTACTATAAAAAGGATTCACAGTTTTCATGCAGCATGTGGACAGGGCAGAGCCACCCAGGATTAGGTTCACATCTGGGCACTATCACTTAGTAGTTGCTGATTTAAGAAAAGTTACTTAACCAGACAGCATCTCATTTTCCTCATCTGTCAACCAGGAATAGCCATGCCAATCTTGTAGAGCTGTTGCAAAAATTATCAATATGAGATTTAAAACACTGACTACAGTGCCTAGCATCTAGTAGATGCCCCATAAATAAAAGCACTGATCACCATTGTTTCTCTCATGGCTAAAATGGCCACAATAAAATCATATGAATGTATTATGCAGATATGCATTGTATATGTTATAAATTTAGGTATGCTATAGCAATTTAACTTAAACGGGTATGTATCTTTTTAAAATTAAAATGCTTAGCTAAGTAATGAAATGATGAAGAAAAAAGTATCTCCCAAAAATTATTTAAATAATATTATTTATAGCTAAATGTCTGATGCTGACATGTCTGAGTCAAACATGAAACCAAGGAAGGGCAACTGTAATTATAAAAACAACTAAGAAGGAGTACTTTTTTTTTCTTTCTAGGTATAAACCTAAAATAAGTAGACTTCTCTTTATCTAAAACTGAATTTGGCAGAGGTACTAATGTATGTCATTACTAAGCCCTTTGTAAAAAATTATTTTTTATATTCAGTAACCAGATTTTCAAGAAGCCTACTGTTAATAGGAAAAAAATCCACAAACTTTCTCATTGTTTTGATCCCAAATATAGCTTACCTTTCTGAAAAAGGATTTCAGCTTCCACCTCACGTTCTTCTGTGGCTGATATCTTACAGAGCTTCAATGCTATTTCAAAAAGCTGAAGAGCAGGTAACCAATTTAAGGGATCCTTCTTTTTATTTTTTATTATATTATTATTATAATGTAATTGTTTGGCCACCGTATGTCCTAAAGAAAGACAGTCAGATAATGAGGGAACAATAAAATATAGTGTTCATTATAAGCCTCCAAGTTCCGAGACTTTTCTCACAGTGAGGCATCTACTAAGAACCCTGGCGGTCTTTAGTTTTTAGCATCTAAGAAATTTTTTAAAGAAACTCAATACTCAAATATTTCAGTAAAAAAATATTTGAAATTATTTTTTTATAAATTTCAACATTTTCTCACTTTTAAAAGGAAGGATAATCTCTCAAGTCTCTCTTTCAGTTCTCAAATTTTATAATGCTCTACAAAACAACTTTTGTGTTCCTAATATGAGATGGTTAGTAGGGAAACATCTCAAAGTTTTATATTTTTCCAATAAAACTTGCATGTATTAACAGATATTAATTTTGTTTCTATTCAGCTCTATGCTGGTTGCTTGTTATGCATAGTTTGTCATCCAAACTAGAAGGTAAACCTATTATGGACAAGGGCCACATGTTATACTTCTGTAGGGTCCCATCATCACTTAACATAGTGAAGGGTTGTTATATGGAAGAGGCATAAGATTTCTTCAATGTGGCCTCAACGACAGACAGATAGATAGACATTTATTCAAAAAATAGTTTCTGGGTGCTTAGGCACTAGATAAAAATGAGAAAAGAGAAAATTAAGAGCTAAGGTTTATTAAGTGCTTCCTACATGTCAGGCATCATCCCAAGTTCTTAACAAGCATTACGTCATGTGATCTTCCCAACTCCTACTCCAGCTGGATACCATTTTACAGAGAGGACAAAGCAATGGCACGGGGAGGTTTAAGTAACTTGCCCAAGGTCACATGACTAACAAGTATCAGGGCCATGATTTGAACCTTAGTAGTGTGGCTCCAGGACCGCACCCTAAACTATGACACTGCAAGGCTCCTTAAGAAAGAGGTCGTGAAGCTTAGTGTTTAATGAAGAATGCTAATGGCCAGACATGTGATCAAAATACTACGTGGTCAACTGTGTGGCAGGGAAAGCATGGGCACTGTGGTAGCAGGTTACACATCCCTAGCCCAGACCTGGGAAAGGTCAGGGACACCTTCTCAGAGAATGTGGCTGTCAAGACTGCCAGTTGATGATTGCCTTGTTTTTTGGTAATTTTAAAGAAGAAAATTGTTGGGATAAAGAGTGGAAGGCAACTGGAGGAAATGCTACATTGATAAAATAGCTTATCGCACACCATAGAGGAATACAAACAGAAAGGCAGTTTGCAGAATGATAGAGTCGCTCGGTTCCACCCAAAGTGCTGGGTCCAGGCCAGTCATTGGTGCTACCAAGTCATTTGTGGCTTTGAACAAGTCCTTACATATCTTTAGGCCTTGAGTGTCTTCCTCTGAAAATGAAGCAGTAAGACTACAAAATATCTGAAGTCCCTTCAGGTTCTGAAAATTTTCAATTCTAGGATGCCAAGCGCTACAAAGGGCTTTCAAGAAACCCGGGACTTCTCATAAATTTTTATTTCAAAATGTGCTATATGAACCAGAAGTTGGTGGGAAAAGTCTCTCTCATTCTTATCCAGGGAGAAGTCACCGAGCCCTCACTTTGGAGGAGACAGGATGGGAGTGCACTGCTGTGAATATGGAGATGAAGAAACTGAGGCCTTCCTTCCAGGCGGCTCCCAGAAGAGTAAGGTGGCCAGGCATGGAATAGTGAGAATAGCTAAAGCCTACAAAACTCTTAGAACACACTAGGTGCCCTTCTAAACATGTTACACATTCCATTCATTTCATCCCAAAACAAGCCAGTGAGATTGGGATATACTTTCTTCATCCACACCTTATGGGAGAGGAAACTGAAACTCAGAAAAGTTAAGTGGCTTGCTCATGGGGATTAGACTAGTATTCTTTCTCCAGAGTCCATGCTCTTAAACCCAACAATCACCAAGCATGATTAGAAGGCTATGAAAATATCATCTGTCCAATACAACCTTATATTTCAATATATCTCCCATTTTTATGTTTTACCATTGTTTCAAATTATACTACAGTTGTTTATTAATGTGAGACAAAATATCAAGTATCTTCATTTCATCAAGGCACTTATATATGTACTATACATGGCATATGTATCCCACATATATTACTGTATAAAATGGTATGAATATATAATAATAGTACAGACTCCTTGAGGGCAGATGGTGACTTGGCTCGGCTCCCACTCCACAGCACCATTCTTGCAACTTCCTTTACACCTATTACACAGTCAGTTATTGATTTTTTCATCTAATAAGGAAGCTCAAGTTTCAGTCATTGATGGGGAAAAAATCTTAAATAACCATAACACTTATTTTTAGATTTATAAAAATAATCTCAAATGCCTTTTTTCTGTTTGAGACTTTCACAAGAAAAAAATAATTTTTAAGTGGCTCTATTCTTGGGATACAATCTATACTATCACTGTAAAGGAAAACTGTTGAGAAAGCATAAGTCAGATGATCTTATGCTTCATAATATTGAAGTGCTCCTTTTTCCAATAAACACCAACTCTGTGAAAAAAAAAAAGTTGAGAAACTGGTATTATTTTGACAGAAAATCTGTTTTTGGATTTGTTTTTTAAGTCTATATTTAATATAATATAACAGAAATCAAGCTGTTCTGCTTCAAGTGAATCTAAAAAACAGCACTAGTACTACTACTGAGCAGTGACACATCTTCAAGATTAGTAAGGCAGGAAAGCAGAGAATACATTTGATTTAACAAAATCTGTACGATTTAACACAATCTGTACTAAGCTTGTATAGAAATCAAATATACTGATAAGATAACAAATTGTGGACTAAAAATGCAGAAAAACAGCTCTCTCATGGGATCAGATTGCTAGAAGGAATTCTAGGGGTCAGCTGGGCCAGCTTAATTTCAACAATATAGGGGTAAAGCAATTTACCTAAAGTAATAAAATTCATATCTGATGATAATTATATAATAATAATGATCAATAATAATCATGAAGGAAAGGAGCAGAAAGAAAATAAGAGAAAAGGTTCTGGACAGATGATGGCTTGAGCTCACCTCTGCTGGCCAAACTTCACAATTCTAGTCCAACCAACAACCTCTCCTTAGCTGCATGCCTGCTGATGCAGGTGGCAAATGGGTCCCAGGAAGGAGGGGTAATGTTTTGTTGTTTTTTTTTAATTAAGTTTATTGGGGTAACATTGGTTAATACAATTATATAATTTTCAGGTGTACATTATAATTTGACGTCTGTATATTCTATTGTGTTTATCACCCAAAGTCCAGTTTCCTTCAGCTACCATATATTTGATCCCCTTTATCCACTTCACCCTGTCCCTTTCTCCCTATATTTGACCCCCTTTATCACATCTATCTCCCCCACCCCTTACCCTCTGGTAACCACTAGTCTAAAGTCCATGTCCATGAGTCTCTGTTTGTGTTTGTCCTGATCATTTGTTGCTTTTAGGTTTATATCCCACATATAAGTGCTATCATGTGATTTTCAACTTTTTCTGTCTGGCTTATTTCGCTTAGCATGATGATCTCGAGGTCCATCCATGTTGTTGCAAATGGCAGTATTTCATCTCTTCTTATGGCTGAGTAATATTCCATTATAGATATGTACCACAGCTTCTTTAGCCAATCATCTATCATAGGACACTTCGGTTGCTTCTATGTCCTGGCCACTGTGAATAATGCTGCTATGAACATCGATGTGCAGATATCTTTTGGGATATAGGTTTTCAAGTTTTGGGGGTAAATACCCAGTAGAGGGGTTGCTAGGTCATATGGTAGATCTATTCTTAGTTTTTTGAGGAACTTCCATACTGTTTTTCATAGTGGCTGTACCAATTTGCAGTCCCACCAGCAGTGCATGAGGGTTCCTTTTTCTCTGCATCCTCTCCAACCTTTATTATTACCTTTCCTATTGATTATAGCTATTCTAACAGATGTGAGATGGTATCTGATTGTGGTTTTGATTTGCATTTCCCTAAATAGCTAGTGATGCTGAACATCTTTTCAAATATTTGTTGGCCATTTGTATGTCCTCTAGGAAGAAGTGTCTGTTCAGGTCCTCTGCCCATTTTTTGATTGGATCATTTGTTTTTTTGTTGTTATTGAGTCGTATGAGTTCTCTGTATATTTTAGATAGTAGGCCCTTATCAGAGGCGTTGCTTGCAAATATATTTTCCCATTCGGATGGCTGTCTCTTTACCTTGATGATGGTTTCTTTTGCTGAGCAGAAGCTTTTTAGTTTGATGTAGTCTCATTCATTTATTTTAGCTTTTACTTCCCTTGCTTTTGAAGTCAAATTCGATTCATAAAATCCTCTTTAAGTCCAAGATCCTTGAGTTTAGTTCCTATGTTTTCTTCTATGCTTTTTATTGTTTCAAGTCTTATATTCAGGCCCTTAATCCATTTTGAGTTAATTTTGGTGTGTGGTAATAGACAACAGGCATAATGGTTTTAAAATGTAGATTTTATTGTTATTCAGGTATGATGAGGTTAACAGGTCTGGAGACATTTAGCACTGAAAAGATAGTTTGTTATTCACAGTTCCCAAGAGGAAGAGGCACAGCACGCCATGTAGGGCCACATGGAAAGCACCAGGATTAGTTAAGAGGTAGAGGGAGCAAGGAAAACCAGAGACAAGACTTTTGCTCTGGTTTTTGTGGGAAGGAATGGGTTGGGTAGGGTAAGCAGGCTAAGCAGGTTTAGGATTGGCTAGTTTGAATAATTTCAATGGACTCTGCTAGTAGTCTGATAGCTGTCCCTGGGGTGATTAGAGGAGGGGAATAGTGGCCCAGAGTGTAAGAGCCCAATGAAGAGCAATAAAGGAGCCCAATAAAGGTACAGGGTGTGGACTCTGGAATGGTTAGTTTGCTAATGAAAGGCATACTCATAGGAGAGTGGTTGGCCAATCTCTAGGAATTGGCTAATTCTGGAAGAGGAAGTTCCTCCTTGGTCAGAAATACAGAAATTGAAAATGCATGGTTAATACAGGTTAGAACAGAGAGTTAGTACAAGATTTTTCTGCCCTCTGAGCTGGACAAGAGCCTGGGAGCTACAGGCATGCAGCCTTGGGTCAAAGATCAAAGAAGACCTGGAAAAATCTTGAAACACTGTTCCCGAGTTCCTCCTTGGTTTCTGAGGAGCTGGAGGCTTTCTTCTTACTGGTCCACATGCTCTAAACAGATCCACTCTTGATTGGCTGCAGTCTACTCTCCACTCTATTCTTTATTCAGCAGCCAGGGTAATATCTTGAAACATAACCCATCCCAGCTCAGGTCTTCCTGTTAGGTTGCCCCTAAGCCACTCTAAATACCACCTCCACAGAGAGGCCTTCCCTAATTATTCTATTTAAATAGGCAGCCCTCCCTTTGTCCCTCTTTATCATCAGATCTTATCCACATCTTTCATAACACTAACAATTTATAATCACATACATATACATAATTCATTATCATATATACTCTTTCTGTATCCTCACTGATTTCCTAATTGTTTTCAGATACACATTTTATTTTATATGATACTTATTAAATTTTATAAATATTAAAATATGCATTTTTATACAATATTTATAATGACATGATATATGATATACTATGCACTCCTACATGTGGTTTATTTACTTGTTTATTTCTGTCTCCCACTCTAAAGGCAGGAACTACATCTGTTTTAATCTCCAATAACTTCCCAGGTCCTCACTCAGAGTCTGGAATGTGGTAAATGATTAAAAACTATTTGTTAAATAAATCGAGCCTGGGTATCCATAAATATTGCCCCATAAATAAATACTGCACTCATATAATAGCACGCCTGAACATAAATTAAAGTTTTTTATCAATGACTTGAGTGTAATATATGTTTAAGTGTTCTCACCAATTCTCATTTTTGTTTTGGCCAGTAACATGACATGAGGAAGATAGACATTTTTCAAAGGCTGTAATGGACTTGCATAGTCAGTGTCTGATGAAGGAAATTCTACTGTCTCTCCAAAAGTTAGCATCTGTAAAAGAAACATTGTAATGATTAATTAGCTAATGTGCTTTAGAATGAAAAAAAAGAAAAAAACAGAAATATAAGTGTCTAAATCTTATAGATCCAAAAGCATTCTCACCTGTTCAATAAGAATATTGTGAGCCTGAGTCAACAAACTTAATTTTTCTGTTTTTGAAGAGGGAGCTTCCTTGAATTTCTCAGCTTTTGTTAAGTCATCCAACAAAAGTATGCTTCTCACCAAGATTAAATAAGACCGAGGAGAATTAAACTCTCTTCCTTCCAGCAATTGTATTATAGCCTATCAAAATAAAATTATTCCTTTTGATCATACTGTTTGCAAGTCACTGAAACAAGAGCTGGCCATATTGACTGTTATGTATTCAGTACCTAATCGAATTTAAAATTCTCTCCTTTTGTTCTAACTAGAGTCTTTCAGTAAATATCAATGTGAATGAAGTTTCCTTCCTACCTGAAGGTTTGTTATGATGTCTGCCTTTAAATGTTTTTCTTGTAGGCCAATGATTACAGCTTGCATCAAGAATTCAGCCTGTAGCTCCCTGTCACCTGCATTTTTTGCCTCCACACACACTTCATTGACGAGGCTAACATAATTTGTCATATCATTTTCTAAAATAAACAAATGCAGTTATTTAAAATGCACCAAGAAAGTAAGAAATTAGATATGCATAATATCCCCCAAAGTTTATTATAGGAATATTGTATAATATAGAACAGAAAGATACAAAGACAGAAAACAAATGGACTACATGAAGCACTGAAAATAAATGTATTGTAACTTGGGGGGAAGTACCTTAGGCTATTTATATACTGCAAAAGTAATAATAATGCAATATGTAATTTAACTTGAGAGAGGGATAAAATTGGTGGAAAGATAGGTTTACAAATAGATAATTATTAATCACTGTAAGAACTAACATTTATACGTGCCAAGCTGTAATCTAAGAACTTTAGAGATTGAACCGATTTAATTTTAACAATAATCTTGTAAAGTCGGTACAATTATCTCTGTTTTACAGAGAAGGAAAGAAGGTGCTAGGGGCATTAAGGGATGGCCAAGGTCACACAGCAAAAAAGTGGTGGTATGAGCATTTGAACCCAAGGTCAGTGCCTACAGAATCTGTGCTCTGGACCCTTTACACTGCGCTGCCTTCCTAGATGACAATTAAACCTGTGCATTAGTATTTTGAAATCTCCTTGGCTGCTCTGCATACATCAGTAACAGATATGCCATTTTAAGTGACACAAGGGACTGTTGAAAATGATTATTCTTATTTAATAACCTGAATTGTTTTATTCTGAAACAGATCAAGCTAGAAAGTTATAAAATGTTAAAGTTACAATAAAATATACCTCGATAAAACTTCCATTACTTACATAAAATCATTTTTATAAAAACTTTGATTAAGAAAATAGGACACCTGTACCTTTTACAATTCCAATGCCACGAATCTGTGCAACAAACGCGGTCACCAGTGCTAAGCGGCACCTCAGCCAGAGATGAATGTTGAAATATTCTCGAGAATTTAGTGAAATAGGATCTAAAAACTCATTGTCATCTTTATTTTCAGTGGCCTAAACAATATTAAAATCATGGTTATCTTCCTATTTAATAATATCAAAGTTCTAGCCTAACACTAAACGTAAGTCAAAAGAACCGTGTGATATTTAATAGTATTAAATTTTTAATCTTAGAAAGTATTCTTGCATATTCTATAAAACACAAAAAATACACACACACACAAAATAAAGAAACAAATAAAAATCACCCATAATCCTCTATTAGCATTTTGGTATATTGCTTTTCAGCTTTTCTTTTTCTCTCTATATCCATTGCTAAAAAATAGTTTTGCAGTCTGAATTTCTCATTGCAAATTATCAGCAGTTTCTGTGTCTTCAAAAATTTTATAAATAACATTTTCAAGACTGAATAATAATAAATAATACTGGCTAATATTTATCGAGTGTTTATTATGTGCCAGGCACTGTGCTACATGCTTTATATACATTATCTCATTTAATCCTCCTAACAAGCCCAAGAGAGGTTATTATTATTTCTCTTTTACAGATGGGAGAACTGATACCTAGAAAGGTTATCTATTTGCTTAAACTCCATCATATTTAGGCAGAGGTGGGATTCAAACTTGTGTCTTTCTGAAATTAGAGTCCACAGTCTTAATCCATTGTATTACACTGCTGTATGCTGCTCACATCCCAAAACATATATTATAATTGATGTACCTTCCTCATTATTACCCTTCATGAAGGGCAGCCAACATCCGGAGCTACCGAAAGAAAGGTGCAAAGAGGGCTTTTTCCAGGGGGTGGAGGAACTCAGTCTTACTTAGGTACTGGGGAACTTTAAAGTCATTTAGAACAGAGCCCATTTGTTCTGGGCATTTCCTGCTACACATCTCTGACAGCTCATCGTCAACACCTACTAACAAGGAGCAGCTACTGGGACTTGAAGGGGGCTGGCATGTGGATAGACAGGTAGGAAGCCCAGAATAGTAGAGTAAGCTGTTCCTGGAAATAGGGTAAGAAGTGAACAGAGGCCTTGAGGCAGGATGGTGACTAGAATGGGCATAGCAAGTAGTGAGGGAGTCTAGTACTTAGATTAGTACCACAGAAAAAAATGCTCATCCACATACCTTAATCTCTCACACCTACATTTCTTGTTATTATTGAAAAGCCGAGTCACACTTACTCTAAATTAGGGTTTCTCAACCTTGGCATTACTGACATTATATGACAGATGATGGTTTTGGAGAATGTCCTGTGCGTTATAAGATGTTAAGCAACACTGCTGACCTCTGCACACTATATGCCATTAGCAACCCCTCTGGTTGTGACAACCAAAATGTCTCCAGATGTTGCCAAATGCCCCTCTGGGGGAGGCAAAATAGCCCCCAGCTGACAACCATTTCTCTGTCAATTTTTAGAATTAGATTGCTTTTTAGCATTTTTATTGCTTCTGATATAGTAAGAAATTAGTCTCTATTTATGACATTTAGTTTTACTTATGTTTAATGACACTAGATAGTAGCAATTTTATTAGTAAAGCTTAAAATAATGAGCAAGGATTCGGTGATAAATCTTTGTATTTTAATCCTAAATGACCCTATATTATTAAATTACTTGATCAAAATCCAATAAAATTCAAAGAGATTTGAGAATTTAAATGCAGAAGAATCTATGAGAAATCCAAAATAAGAAACAGCACAGGTGTCATGCTGAAGTAATAATTCAAAAGTGAAATAAGGAACAAAATAAAGTGAAACAACTTCAGTTGCTAGTGAAATCAGATCTAGAATACTGTAATGATACATCTGGTGGGACTTTAATAATTATTACATCCAATTCTATTAGTTCACAAATGAGATTTAAATTAAAATTTTTAATTAGAAATTAATTTTAAAAGTTTAAGGGACTCGCCCAAGGTACACCAATTAATATACAGCATAAACAGGTCGTGAATGCAAATCTTTATACTCTTTATCCAATGTTTTTTTCTCTTTATCCCTTACCAATTAATTAACGAATTAATTAGACAATTTTCTAGCATGCCAATAGTTATTAAATAATAAGTATTGCAAGGATAAACATTAAATTCATACATACGGAAACTCCTGGAGAGCTGGAACTCTCTGTGTCATCTTGCACTACCTTCTTTTTAAAAAGTTTTGAATCCTGAAGAAGTTTAAGTGTGGAAAATACTATTGCAGCACTAAAATAGAAGACATAGTTTAAATGTGATTAGTATCACATGTGGCATTTGTATACTATTTCCTAAGCTCTTCCTCCAAAAAACCTTCCCATACCCTCACCTGCCCCCAAAACTTTTAGCTGCCCCTTCCACATGCCCTAATAGTACACTGATCTTAACCATGCAGTAGTATTTGTTACACTATTTAATTGCCTGTAATTGTTCTGCAGCTAATTTGTCTTATTCTCTGTTGAAACCCAGCATCTAGTGGCTGGGACATAATAGAAGCTAAAAGAAAAATTTTTAAATGCAAATGAGTGAATTAAAGAATAGATAAGTGAATGTTTCCAAAATCAAAAACAAAACTTACTGACAATCTCACTAATAAAATGAGCACATATGCATTTCATATATGTCAGAATATGGTTCTCCAGTTTTTTTGAGGTTATACAACTGTGTTACTTAATGCTATATACTTGGAAACTCTTAAGTTAAATTATTGCTTAATCAGTGTCTAGTAGTACCAGAAAGAAAATATACTAAATTAAGGAAATAGAAACTAGGAAATGGGAATTCTCCTTATTTCCTGTTGCTCTGTACATAAATTTGTCTACACTTTAAATCCTCATATCCTACTACCCTGTAGAATGATAGATTTACAATTGGCATTATATTTTTTCAAAATATTTAAATAATATATATCAAGAGTCTTCTTTGAAAATCTATCCCAAAACAATATACATATCTAAATATGCTGATCAGAGTGTAATTTATAACATGGAAAGACTGGGTGAAAGCCAAATGTCTTTGAAAATCTATCCCAAAACAAAATTCAAAATATGGAATATACATATCTAAATATGCTGATCAGAGTGTTATTTATAACATGGAAAGACTGGGTGAAAGCCAAATGAACAGTACTCTCATCTAATTCCTCACTTGATATCTCCATTTGAATAGGTAATAAACAATCACATTTAATAGGTGTTATAGGTTGAACTGTTTCCCTCTCTCCTTAAAAAAAAAAAGGTATGTTGATATCCTAACCCTCAGTACCTCAGAATGGTAGTTATCTGAGGAAATCAAGTTAAAATGAGGTCATTAGGGTAGACTTTATTCCTGGTGTCCCTATAAAAAGGGGATATTTGAGCAGAGAGACAGATATGCACAAAGGGAAGATGATGTGAAGACACAGAGGAAGAAGATGGCCATGTGGCTGGAGTGATGCATCTAGAAGCCAAAGAATGCCAAGGATTGTCGGCAAACTAGAAACTAGAAAAAGCAAGGGGGGATTCTCCCCTAGAGCTGTCAGAAAGAGCATGGCCCTGCTGACATCTTGATTTTGGACTTCTAGCCTCCAGAACCATGAAACAATAAAATTATATCGTTTTAATCCACCCAGTTTTTGGTATGTTGTTATGGCAGCCCTAGAAAACTGACAGGATATGTTAAAAGCAGATCCATTTGTTTCCACCCCCTCCACCAAACCCAGTTCTCTTCCCTGTCCTCTATCCCACAGGCAGAGCTCAGAATCACCATTTCTTCCTCAGAATCAGTCCATCAACAAGTTTTGTCAGCTTCACCTTCAAAATATGGATACCAGGGTGCAGCTCCTCAGGTCACCTCCTCCACTGCTAATGCCTTTGTCCAAGCCATCATCTCTCCAGGCTGGACGACTGTGGGAGCTTCCTGACCAGCCTCCCAGCTATGGCTCTTACCCCTGGCAGTCCTAGTCTCCACATAGCAGCCACAGCGATCTCATCCAGATGCAAATCGGATCACATCACTTCCTCAAATACACATTCCGGAGGCCTTCCATGTCCCTAGACTGTGGTCAGTACACCTCTCCTTTGGGTCATTTACTGAGGTTTCTGGCCCAGTTTATGATCAGCTTTGTCAGTGACCATGGATGTTTTGGAGAAGGTATTGTCTGTCTGTAGGCTCCCAGAGTATTGAAATGAGATTATTGTGAGGATTAAATGAGGTATTTATTCTTTCATTTGTTCAAAAATATGTATTGAGCACCTGTTACAGGCCAGGAACAAATCTAAGGTCTATGGATACAGTCCCTGCCCTCATAGAATTGACATTCTAGCGAGAGTGAGGTTTACTTAGCAAACAGGAGTGCTCAGCAAATAGATGGCATTCGATGCATGCTAGCTGCTATCATTATTAGTGTATTGAGATAGCCAGGAGGGACAGAGGGCATTAAATTGATTTTTTTTTCTAAGTTGACAACCAGAATCAAAAACTGTCTGCAATTATTGAATTTTAAATTCCCAAGATTCTACTGAATCATTAAAATGCTATAGATATTTGTAGAATATTTCCTAAGGTATTATTTCTGATTATATAAACTTACTGATTTTTATTAAAAATAAAACAAAACAAAAACAAGCCAAAAAACAACAAAAAATGTAACACTGATTCATTATATATAAAGGTATGAAATTTCCTCTCCTCAACACCCTTCCTCCCTCAAGGATGCACACATGTTTCCATGGCACCTCGTTTACTGAGAAGCTTCAGAGGCTAAGACAGGATGGCAACTAGAGGACCCTGGACGAAGAAAGAGGTGCGGATCCCATCCTTCCGATTCTGAACCTCAAATTCTTATTTCAAGAGAAAAAAATGTAAGGTTTGGAATCTTGCTAACCCCAAAACTTAGTGAATAAAATATAAACACACTAGTATGGACTAATCCACCTGGTATTGCTTAGTTGCACAATGGAAAATTTCTAGTTTCTCCTCTTCACTTGAGAGAGAACGTGTAGGAGGATTACCCACTATAAACAGTCTAAAATCCCAGAAGAAGGAAGTTTCATTCTGACACAAAATTAAAAGGCTCAAATGTTATCCCATTTAGACAATAAATTAAATAGAAAGGAGAATAGAAAGGAACACTTATTAAAAAAAAAAAAAAGAATTCTAAGAAAGGCAGCCCCAAAAGAGGTAGAAATACAGTTTGAATAACTTTGATCCCATTTACTTCTTATTAACATTCATGACAAAAATGGTCAGTTTGTTCTCATAAAATCCATGTGGCTCACTTTACCTGTTACCCTAGGGAATGTGTCTTTCAATTTTCTTGACACACAATTTTATTAGAAGTATCATGAAATGTCAAGCTAACCATCATTTGGGAAAGAGACTGTCCAATACTTTCAGCACCACCCAAACAGAAGCTCGTGGGAGGTAAAGTTCACATAGGAAAAACTCATTCATCTTGACAGTAGGCTTCCTCAAATGACAACTCTGCTGGAAAAAGGCAATAACATCAAAGTTTTTGCTGGTTTTGATCCAAGGGCCAGGTTCATGTATTTAAAATAGGAGAGATTCTGATACACTTGCACATGATTTGCATATGTCTACCTGGTCTTCAAAGTTCTATTATAAAGTTCTACTCCTTTCTACTCCTTTCTGTGGGCATTTTGTAATTTTTAATTTCTAGTTTCCTTTTTCTTCCCTAAAAAACAAAAATCACTCATATCCTCCATACCAAAAGGGTATAAGACATGTAGAGAGCTGGGGAAATAATGACGATACATGACAAAAAATATTTTCTAGGGCTGCTGTTGCTGTCTGGGGACTATTTAGAGAAAAGAGTTCTAAATTCTTCCATAGGAAATCATATTGCCATATATTTTATAGTCATATGTATCTAAATATACATATTTAGATATGTTCACATCATATATTTTCTATAGGAAATCATGTAGTAAAAGTTCCTCCTCCTCTCTTCAAACATCAGCAGGGACAAGGGTATACTACTACACTAAGCCTATTTTACCATCAATCGACTACCACTGTATTTTAAAGATAGCTATAAATGTGACGATACACTAAACCAGTGGTTTTCAAGCTTTTTTACCTCGGCACCTTAAAAGGTGCTTAATGGCCTTAAAAATTAAGAATGCCCGAAGAACTCCATCAATATTTACCATATTAGAACTTAAACTGAGAAATTTTTAACTTCATTCATATTTATTGATTTGTTTTAAAATAAAAAACCCATTACATGTTAATATCAATAATGTGTTTTAATTAAAAAAAAACTATATTTTCCAACAACAAAAATATTAGTCAGAAGAATACCATTGTTTTCACATTTTTGCAAATCTCTTTAACATCTGGCTTAATAAGAGAAATCTACTTAATAGGAGACTTTCTTATCTGCTTCTACATTCAGTCTGTTGTGACATATTGTTTTGGCTGAAGTATATGAAGAAGACTGGGCCTCACACTGATGGCTGTGAAAATGGGAGGAGTATTTTAATAGCTTCTTCAAATAATTGTGAATATTCTTCTTTGGTACTATGCCAAAATGTGACGACTGATGTTTTCTTAAAAATTTGTTGCAGTGTCGAATCTAATACCACACACTGATAAACTTTTCCTTTTCTGTTAACTTGAAAACTTATTGGTCTATCTTCTTAACCAGGATTTTGGAACATCATGTACTGGCCGCATTAGCTCCTAGAGTTATGTAGATTTTCTCTTAAGGTTGAAACATTTCATTACACAATTAAAAAGATGCTTATTAATATTATTTCCAATCTTGTCAGAAGAATCTAAGCATTAGAAAACTGTCAAGCTCATGATGGCAAATACAAATTTTCAAAAATTCTAGTTTTCTTATGAAACGTTAGATTTTATGATTGGCAACAAAAACTATTTGCTGTTTTCCTAGAAGTGGAATGTCTATTTTGCTCATTTTCAATACAATGCCTTTTAAATAACCAAGTCTGAATAACCATAGTTTGTCAGTTGTTATTTTTTTTCAAATTAAAAAAAAAAACAGTTTGTTTGGCTCTCAATTCAATCACATATGGGTTCTTTCTCAAGACAACTATCAGATTTTGATATGCAGCAGAAGTGCTTTAGGTGTATTGCCCATTTAATATTCCCACAGAAAATTAAAAATATATTCAAAGATAGGGATTTATAAATGTAACAAATTCTACTGCTTCATGAAAGGCATTCTCAAATGAAGCTAGCTTTTTTTTTATTGCAAGTGTGTGGAAGCAAAGTATGTAATGACTACTAGTACACTTGGTGCTACTGCTTTGATTCATGGTAAGATGCTAGAAGTTTTACCACTGTTGCTTTTATAGCATCAATGCAAATAACAACACAAGAAGAAGGCGAATGACACCTTAGTTTCATTACGAAAATAGTTTTGACCTTACAGACCCCTGGAAAAGTCTCAGGGACACCCCTGGAGATCTGTAGACCACACTTTGAGAATCACTGCTCAAATCAGACTTTATGGCTTTTCATTACTGCTTAAAAAGCACAAAAATTATAAATTTCCAAGAACTTATACTGTCACTAGCAAAAAATCAAATTTAGATGTGGTTAATCATGAATAGCCTTTAGTCAAGGCTCACACTGATGAGATGATTGAATGCGTCCAATCAAAGCAATTCAGATTTCTGCTGAATTGATCACCACTTTGCAAAAGCTACAGGTGGGCTTTTCCTGCTTAAAGAGAATGACCATCTAAGAATTAACTCCCCTTCCAAATTCTGAATCTAATGCAAAGAGTTTAATGTATAGAATTTTAGTTTAATGAAGAAAGTTAAGGAGAAAAAAAAAAACAAAACAATTTTTTACTCTGTAGTTTTAAGAGTAATAATGTACTAAAACTCCCTTGAATAATAATAATAATAATAATAATAATAATATAATAATAATAACAACAACAACAACCAAGTATGCTCTATTAATGTGGGAATCTATGAAATTTAGGTATATTTAACAAGTCAGGATGAGGAAGAAACTCCTGTGCATGAAGAGACTCACCTATATGCCGACCGATGTCTCTGCAGGGCAATTGCAGCCAGCTGAAGCCTGGCCTCCACCACCATCTCCAACTCACCCACGGAACACTGAGAGACGCTCCTGTTACTTGGATGCTCCATCTCTGACACAAGGAGGTTTAGCTTGTCTTCAGCTTCTGTCAGTAAAATGGACTAAAAAAAGAACACCAGTGACACAATCACATAAATTCAGAAATAATACAAATAACATCTCATTCTTATGCACACCGAAAAGTCACAATGAATGGAAGACCAAAACAGAAATTTGAACCTCGTCATCAGAGAAGAGAGTTCAGTGAACAGGAAAAGGGCAACGGAGAATGAAAAGGAAAGTAATGGTCAGAGTAAGCACGCAGGACAGCTACCCTTTGTTATATGCACAGCCAATGCTCGTACATGCTATTAACTGTAGCTTTGTTCAATAAAGTTGCTGAAAACACTGAATTAGTGAATAACTGAACCATTGTTCCTAGGGGAAGTACAGGAGTAGGTTCCTGGGAGCCTCTGGTCACAGCATTTGTTTCAACTGATCAATATATAACCTGGCTTAATGTGTATTTATGTTTACATACACATTATTTAATATATCTTATAGACTCATTAACTTTGAACTCACAGCCAATAGCTCTATACCTAAAGTCTGACCGAAACTTAGCTGACACACTTATTTTCTCCATAAGGCACATCACAGCCTTCCTGCATGTAGGAACACTAAACAGCACTTCTGCACTACTCTTGAGGGGTCATTTTAAATAGTAAAATCACCAACCAAAAAAAAGCACAAAAATGCAAAAACGGTGGCAATAAATAGACCATGAAAAAGTCACTTGTTTATAGTATGAGCGTGGAAACAAAAACTCAGAGTACTGCCTTGTTTGACTCAACTGAGAATGTGTGTGTTAGATAACTCTATTTTTCTATGCTCAGCCCACATCTACAAATAACCACAAAAGAACTACGGATATTGATTCGGGGTTACAAATAAATTTTAGCATTGGCAAATTAGAAAATACTGAATCTGTGAATATTAAGGATTGACTGTATTTCAGGTTAAACTATGGTCACCTAACTGGCAATATGAAGATAATGAGATTTTACAGAGGGCAGTCAATAGTGAACAGCAATCTGACATGGCAAAATAGAAAGGGACCAAGCAATCTTTCAAGGAACAATCTGTGTAAAATCTTGTTTGTATGAAGCAGTAAATATATAAAAGTTATAAAAGTTCTAGGGCAATTTGTATATTAGTTAATAATATGATTGGTATTTTATTAGTTGCGCGATGTTAGTGAATTTCATACTGTCTAAGCTTCAGTTTCCTTGTTTCAGCACGACATAGTTCAAATATGATTAATACACCACAGAGTTGTGAAAATAATCATGCAAAGTGCCTGTCATGTAATAAGCACTGAATAAATGGTAGCTGTTTTTGTTGTTGTTGATCACTATTATTAGTAAGGAAATGAGAAACAGGGTATGGAATATTCAAATCCCATCAAATAAAGAATCATATATTCTGCAACGCCTAATTGGATTGTAAAGTCAGACACCTCTGGGCATCTACTTTTTTTTTCATGGAGAGCAGACTTCATCTCACCCCAACCCATGCTTATGTTTAAAAAAAGCCACCTAGTTTCCTAACAGTAAGCACAGTCCTGAAATGGTCAAACAGTCAGCATCTTGGTAACAGACTTATTATAATTTGAAAACATTTTCAAACTTACCTTTATTGTGCTAAGAGTGAAGTCGTCTTTCACTTTTGTAAGATGACTAAATGAACCTCCATCATCCTTTAAACATAGCTCTATAAGGCACAGAATTTTGGAAGAACAAAGGATACCTATGGTTAGTTTAAGTATTAATTCTAGTTTATAAAACTCATCATTAGTTGAGAACTATCCATAAATTTAATGCTAAAAAAACTATAATGATAAGTAACAATATACTGCTATTTCAAATAATCTCTAAACCTCAGACATTAAAAGATTAAGGCTGATTCTAACAATAAATCAGACAATTAGGAAAAGATCTTTTGTATGCTTAGTGACATTATTTGAGTCATCAGCTACTGATATAAAGTAGTGGTTCCTCCCCTGGAATTCCCAGAACATCTTAAGGTCCTCAAAGTATTTGGGGTCTTTCAGATATTTATATTTCAATAAGATCTCCTTGGAAGCATCAGTTCTGCAGCTCTGCACAAACCTATCACTCCAAGAGCAGAGAGTGAGACCATTTGGAACAGCACAATCCACAATCCTCAAATATCTCAAATTCCCACCCACAACCTGAAGCTGGCCCTTATTCTGAGCCAGGGAGAACTGAGAGAATTTAGACCATAGACTTTGCCTTCTTTGGTAATCCTGGCTTCTAGACTACAGGAGAGAGAAAAACTACAAGTCATTAATTGACTAGGAATTACTGCAAAAATTATTCACCTAAAGAGACTAAGTTCGTCAAGTAGGAAGAGGGAGTCCAGAATAACATGGGACTGAACACACCTGATTTCCTCTCTTCTTCTAACCCCAACCTACCTGACTCTTCTCCTACATAAGAAAGTTCTAGAGCTAGGGCTCAGCTGAGTATAAGGGAGGGGTTGAGCACTGAGAAAGGCACAGCAGGAAGATCTGGGACTGAGTCTTCCAAAGAGGAAAGTGAGAGAGAGAGAGACAAAGATAGAAAACAAATGCCTGAAGACTGGTATGGAAGAACCCTGTGAGGAGCATCAAAACCTGAGACACGCTAGGAAGAGTCTGACCTAAGTTTTCTTCACTGCTCTCTCTGCCTCCCGTGTGGCCCTGTCCTGTGTGGTCCTTCTATGTCATGGCATGCCCCTTCTCTTGGGAGCTGTAAATAAAGTATGTTTTCAGTGGCAGTTATCTCCTATCTGATGGCCTTTATTATTATCTGAATAATAATAAAACTTACATTTTAAAACAGAGGCCAATATTATTCTGATACCAACTAGACAAAGACACCAAAAGAAAAGAAAATTATACACCAATATTTCTTATAAATATTGATGTAAAAATCTTTAATAAAATACTAGCAAACAGAATCCAGCAACACATTAAAAAATTATACACCATGATCAAGTGGGATTTATCCCAAGAAAGCAAAGTTGGTTAAACACTCAAAAATCAATTAATGTAATACATCATATTACTAGAATAAAAAACAAAAACCATCTAATCATCTTAATAGAAGCAGAAAAGGCATTTAATACAATCCAGCACTCTATCATTATAAAATCATTCAATGAAGTAGGAACAGAAGAGAAATTCCTTTATCTGAAAAAGGACATATATCAAGAAAGCAAGGTTGGTTAAACACTCAAAAATCAATTAATGTAATACATCATATTACTAGAATAAAAAACAAAAACCATCTAATCATCTTAATAGAAGCAGAAAAGGCATTTAATACAATCCAGCACTCTATCATTATAAAATCATTCAATGAAGTAGGAACAGAAGAGAAATTCCTTTATCTGAAAAAGGACATATATGAAAAACTGACAGTTAACATCATACTTAATGATGAAAAACAATTATTTTTATGGTGACATCTAACACAGTTAAAAAATACATAGACACTATGGCCCATTACCCCACTCATGGGTATCTTAACCCATAGAAATAGATACTATATTATATGAATATCTAGCACTTCAGCACTGTTCTCTAGAAACAAAGAGAATGCACGTCAACAGGAGAATGGTTGAATGACTGTGGGATATTCACAGCATAAAACTCTACACAGTCAGCACAGTGAACTAAAGCAAAGCAGTTGATTTGAGTTGTTCTAGATGCAGAAAAATGTAAAATACATTGTTTATAAATAAATGACAAATCCTGTTTTGTATGTTTGTATAGGAAAAGTACATGGAAATGGAGACATATGGATGGACGTGAGTATGCATGTACCTAAAGCATAAGCACATATATGTGTCATTCGTGAGCTAGGAGAAAAGTATGAAAGAATATATACTAGATTGTTCGTAGAGATTATTGGTGGTGAAGTGGGGAGTACAGGAAAGTGAAGAGAAAGAGAAGCAAGAAAATAAAAAGAAAGATTACCTTTCAAGTTTGGGAGGTTTGCTTTGCTTCTCTCAGAAACAAATCCATGGTAGATTGTTTTCAATATAGTTTCTGGGACACAATTTATTGTTGCAGCCACATTTATTAAAAAGTATGCTTTAACAAAAGAAAACTTATTTAAGAGATGTTGTTGGCCAATTGTAACCAGAATTTGAGGCAAGCCTTTACTTATTAATTCATCAAGTGCCTAAAATAAATGGAAAAAAATTTAAAAAGCAAATAAGTAAAATATTGTTTTTATGTATTATTAGCTTTAGTCCTCTTTTATACTCATTTAGTTTTGGGTAAAAGAATACAGAAATGGACCTGAGGTTCCATAAGTGGCAGAACTATTAAGAAAAACATGTAATGTTAGAACTATCCCAGCAGTTCCACAGTGTTTCTGCCATTCCCCTCCCCAATTTGTGACCTGGGCCTCATGAGCCCAGCCCTGCCATTAATGAAAGTGAACCTGTGCTGAGATCAAGGGAGAAGACAACAAAATAGAGAAACTGCAAAAGCTCATCAGCCATGCATGGAACCACTCTGCTTTAGAGTGAATAAATTAGAGCTACTAGGACCAGAACAGGAAGAATGGGTGGACAAGTAAGCTCCCTACCCAGCTTAGACTCTGCCCTCAATCATTAGAACTCCACCTCATGTACACTCTCAACTCCCTGGCCCCTCTCTCATGCATATCCACATCCTTGGCAAAATCATAGCCCCGATAAAATCCAGCGCATGCACCTGCAGTAGCAGAAGGCTGGAGAAAATCATGCAATTATGATAAGTGGTCCTACTTTAAGTTCCTGACCAAACTTCAGTGCTGCCTGGTCACCATTCTACATTTTCCTGGTACGTTCCCTCTCGCTCTTTCCTAGATAACCACTTCACGCTCTTCTTCTTTCTAAATTTTAACCCTTCCTCTCCATTGCCCCTGCCAGCTAACGACCTTGCTTCCTCTACTTAACTGAGAAAACTGAAGCAGTCAAAGTAGTGCCCACAGACCCCACAGCTCCACCACCTCTCCCACCTACCCAAGCACCTGCCTCACCATTCTGCCTTCCTTCCCTCCTGTCCACACTGGTCTACTCAGCCATTCTCTCCTATGCCATAAATGTTCTCTTTCTACAGACACGTTCCTATCAGCACGCAGCCATGCCGTCTTCGCCATCTTAAAAAACAAAAACTCTCTATATTCCTACTTCCTCTCCAGCTACTAACTCAATCTTCGCTCCCCTTTACAGTACTACCTGAAGAGCTGCCAATATTCCAATTTCTCTACTTTTATTTGCTTATAACCCCACTCCT